TGCTACGTCCAAATACCTCCAAATACAGTCACATTCTGAGGTATGGGGTTGGGGGGAGTAGGAGGGTCGTATGGGTAGGACTTCAACATAGGAACTGTAGGGGACACAATTCAGCATGTCACAGTACAGGCCCAGTGTATGAATAGAGCCATTTTCCCCAGTGGCTTGGATCACAACCTCAGAAAGGATTTTTTTTTTTAACCACCTTACTGCAGGTAAACCAGGGAAACATTTCATTGGAATAAGAAGTTAGGTTGTCTTCCTAGCGTGTGGTTCACTTTTTTCCCTTTTTTAAAAATTGTGGTGGCCAGGCACCGTGGCTCATGCCTATAATCCTAGCACTTTGGGAGGCCTAGGCGGGTGGATCATCTGACGTCAGGAGTTCAAGACCAGCCTGATCAACATGGTGAAACCCCATCTTTACTAAAAATACAAAATTAGCCAGGTGTGGTGGCACATGCCTGTAATCCCAGCTACTCGGGAGGCTGAGGAAGGAGAATCGCATGAATCCGGGAGGTGGAGGTTGTAGTGAGCCAAGATCGCACCACTGCACTCCAGCCTGGGCAAGAAGAGCGAAACTCCCATTCAAAAAAAAAAAAAAAATTGTGGTAAGACACACATAAACTTTACTATCTTCATTATTTCTAACTGTATGGCTCAGTGGTATTGAGGACATTCATACCATCGGACATCACCACCATCCGTCCATCTCCAGAACTCTTCATTGCAAAACTGAACTCTACCCATTAAACCATAATTCCCTGTTCCCCTCTTCCCCCAACCCCTGGCAACCACCATTCTACCTTTTCTGTGATTTTAAGTATTCTTAAGCACCTCACAGAATTGGAATCATAGTGTTTGTCTTTTTGTAACTGGCTTATTTCACTGAGCATAATCCTCAAGGTTCATCCATGTTACAGCATGTATCAAATGTTCTTTTCATGGCTGAATTAATGTTCCATTATACGTATGCCACATTTTCCTTATCCATCTTTTGATGGACGCTTGGGTTACCTTCACGTTTTACTATTGTGAATAATGCTGCTACGAACACGGGAGTACAAATACCTCTTCAAGACTATGCTTTCTTTTAGATGTACACCCAGAAGTGGAACTGCTGGATCATATGAGGACTCTATTTTTAATTTTTTTAGGAAGTACCATATGGCTTTCCATGGCTGCTGTAACATTATATTTTCCCAGTAGTGCACAAGGATTCCAACTTCTCTTTCTTTCTTTTTTTTTTTTTTTTGGAGTCGGAGTCTGACTCTGTCACCCAGGCTGGAGTGCAGTGGCATGATCTTGGCTCACTGCAGTCACCACCTCCCGGGTTCAAGCGATTCTCCTGCCTCAGCCTGCCAAGCTGGGACTACAGGCGTGTGCTACCGTGCCCAGCTAATTTTTTTTTTTTTTTGCATTTTTAGTAAAGATGGGGTTTTGTCATGTTGGCCAGGCTGATCTCGAACTCCTCACCTCAGGTGATCTGCCCGCCTTGGCCTCCCAAAGTGCTGGGATTACATATGTGAGCTACCGCACCCAGCCAAGGTTCCGATTTTTCTACATCCTTACCACACTTTTTTTTTTTTTTAATACTAGCCATCCTAATGGGTGTGAGGTGGTATCTCATTGTGATTTTGACTTGTATTTCCCTAATGGTCAGTGATGCTGAGCATCTTTTTATGTGCTTTTTGGCCATTGGTATGTCTATTCAAGTCCTTGCCTTTTTTTTTTTTTTTTTGTAACAGTCTCACTCTTACCCTGGCTGGAGTGCAGTGGCGTAATCTTGGCTCACTGCAACCTCCGCCTCCCAGTTCAAACAATTTAGCCTCAGTCTCCCAGGTAGCTAGGATTACAGGTGCATGCCACCACACCTGGCTACTTTTTATATTTTTAGTAGAGACGTGGTTTCACCATGTTGGCCAGGCTGGTCTTGAACTCCTAACTTCAGGTGATCCGCCTGCCTCAGCCTCCCAAAGTGCTGGGATTACAGGCCTAAGCCACAGTGCCCGGCCCCTTGCCCATTTTTGAACTTTTTTTCTCATTGAGTTTTAGGAGTTCTCTATAATTCTATTAATCTCTTGTCAGATATATGATTTGCAAATATTTTCTCCCATTCTGTGGATTGCCTTTTTATTCTGTCGTTGTGTCTTTTTTTTTTTTTTTTTAAAGAGATAGGGTCTTGCTCTGTCACCCAGGCTAGAGTGCAGTAGTGCAATCATAGCTCACTGTAACCTCAAACTCCTGGGCTCAAGCAATTCTCCTACCTCAGCCTCCTGAGTAGCTAGGACTACAGACAGGCACCACCATGCTCAGCTACCTTTTTTTAAAAAAAACTTGTAGAGATGGGGTCTTGCTATGTTGTCCAAACTGGTCTTGAACTCCTGGCCTCCAGCAATCCTCTTGTGTCAGCCTCCCGAAATGCTGGGATTACAGACATGATCCACAGTGTCTGGCCTGATAGTGTGGTTTTTTAAAAATTTTTTTCTAGAAAGAATGCAGGCAGGGTTTTACTATGTTGCCTAGGCTGGTCTTGAACTCCTGGGCTCAAGTGATCCTTCCACCTCGGCCTCCAAAAGTGCTGGGACTACAGGAGTGAACCACCATGCTTGGCCAATAGTGTCTTTTGATGTGAAATTGAATGCCTTTAATTTTCATGAAGTCCAATTTGTTTATTTTTTTCTTTTTAATGTTGATGACTTTGGTGTCACATCCAAGAAACTACTATCAAATCCAACGTTGTGAAGATATTCTTTATGTTTAATTTTAAGCTCTTACAATTTAGGTCAATTTTGAGTTAACTTTTGTATATGATGTTTGGTAAGGGTCCAACTTCACTCTTGGATATCCAGTTTCCAGGCATCAACCATTTGTTGAAAAGACTGTCCTTTCTATAGCCTGGGCGATCCTCTCACCTCAGCCTTCCAAGTAGCTGGGACTACTGCTTTTTTCAAACAAAAAAACTTTGTTTTAAAAACTCTTTATCAGTCCTGGATAAAAATGTTGCCTAAGGATTCTAAGTCCTTTGGCCCCACCTGAGACAAATGCTGAATGGAACCACTTTTCACGACCTCTACTGCTGCCTCTGAGGTCCAAGTCATCGTCAGTTTTTGCCTGTTCTATTGCAGTGGCCAACTGATCTAGCCACCCCACCCCTTCTCTGCACAGCAGCCAGAGGTCTCTAGAACCAGGTCAGGTCAGGTCTTTGGCTACCTGCCACCCCGAGAGTCTCATCCCCCGATTCCTGATTACAGCTCACAGCACCCCCTCCTATCAATACATGGTGTCAGGTCCCTCTGTCTTTGTGGGTCCCTTTCTCTGCCTGACAGGAGCTGAGCCTCTTCATCCAGGTTTGGGCTCAGACACTGAGGCCTCCCCCACCTCCCCGCCCAAGGTAAGTGTCCAGCACAGGTGCTTGATAGCAGTGCTTTTAAAAACACTAGGTTTCATCCGTTAGGTTGTACAATCAGTTCAGTAGGTCATGGCCGACAGTTTGTTTTCAACTTTTTATTTTGAAGTAATTATAGATTCATAGGAGGTTGCATAGGAGGTTGTCTAGGGAGGTGCTGCGTACCCTTGCCCCAGCCTCCCCCAATGTTAACATCAGGAGCCAAAAACTGACATTGGTACAGTCTACAGAACATACTCGGTTTCCCCAGTTATATCTGTACTCCTTTGTGTACCTAACTCTACACAATTTTGACTTCATGTATAGCCCTGTGTAACCATCAGTCAGGCTGACAGATGGTTTTCAATACCACAGGACTCCCTTATGTGAACCACCCCCCCACCATCCCTAACCTAACCCCTGGTAACCGTTAATCTGTTTTCCATCTCTGTAATTACATTATTTCATCAATGTTACATAAATGGAATCCTGCTACATGTATGTTTTCAAGATTGGCTGGTTTTGCTCCGAAGAATTTCCTTGAGTTTCATCTGAGTTGCTGTGTGTACAGCAGTTACTGAAAATGGCACTGTATCACATATAGTACGGATACATATTGTTTTATATTTCAACAATAATATGCTATATATAACAGTCTATGCCAAATAATGACGTAAAATACTTATTATTAATATGGGGTTTTATCCAAAACACTTATTTTTAAAATATTTATTTATTTAGCCGGGCGCGGTGGCTCAAGCCTGTACTCCCAGCACTTTGGGAGGCTGAGACGGGCGGATCACAAGGTCAGGAGATCGAGACCATCCTGGCTAACACGGAGAAACTAAAAAAATACAAAAAAAAACTAGCCGGACGAGGTGGCGGGCGCCTGTAGTCCCACCTACTCGGGAGGCTGAGGCAGGAGAATGGCGTAAACCCGGGAGGCGGAGGCTGCAGTGAGCTGAGATCCGGCCACTGCACTCCAGCCTGGGCGACAGAGCGAGACTCCGTCTCAAAAAAAAAAAAAAGTATTTATTTAGAGACGGGGTCTTGCTCTGTTGCCCAGGCTGGAGTGCAGTGGCACAGTCATAGCTGACTGCAACCTCAAACTCCTATCCCCAAGTGATCCTTCTGCCTCAGCCTCCCAAGTAGCTGAGATTACAGGTGTGAGCCACCATGCCTAGCACCTGTCCATAAAGTGTGAAATATACTGCTCTTATTGCAGTATTTGTTTTCTTCATAACACCACCATAAAAGAAAATTATCCAAACTGCTTCAGAAATTACCACCATTTTATTTTTATTTATTTTGAGACAGGATATCACTCTGTCACCCAGGCTGAAGTACACTGGCACAATCATGGCTCACTGCAGCCTCAAACTGCTGGGCTCAAATGATCCTCCTATCTCAGACTCCCAAGTAGCTGGAACTACAAATACGTGCCACCATGCATGGCTCGTTTATTTTTTGTAGAGATAGAGTCTTGTTATGTTGCCCAGGCTGGTCTCAAACTCCTGGGCTCAAGCGATCCTCCCACCTCAGCCTCCCAAAGTGCTGGGGTAACAGCCGTGAGCCACCACATCCAGCCACCATTTTAAATCCCTATTTATTGATGTTTAATGTCTGTCTTTTCCCCAAACTACAACAGAAACTCTTTGAAGACAACTTGTCTGTTTCGAAACTGTGGTCTTGTAAGCCCCAAACCCTGTCCAACATGTGGACACTCAGATGTTGTGAAGGAATTGCCATAGCAACAAATGCAGGAACATCCTGTCCAGAGAGATTATCTGCTGATGTGGAACTTGAGTAGTGAAGAAGGAGGCAAAATATGACAGTCGCACTACAGAGGCAGGACTCAATGCTTCCTAACCGAGCATGCAGTCGCACACTGCATACCTTGCTAAACAAGCAGGTGGCAGGGAGCATGGCTGCACTGAGGGAAGGCCCCTCATGGACTGGGGTGCTGGCTGGCATGCCCTGGCTTTTGCTGCACTCTCCAGCTCTGCCCCATGAACCTGAAGGCAGCTGCTGCAATCCCAGGCATCACATGCAGACTGCCAATTCATTTTATTATTTTATTTTTGAGACAGAGTCTTACTCTGTTGCCTAGGCTGGAGTGCAGTGGCACGATCTCAGCTCACTGCAACCTCTGCCTCTGGGGTTCAAGTGATTCTCATGTCTTAGCTTCCGGAGTAGCTGGGATCACAGGCGCATGCCACCATGCCCAGCTAAGTTTTGTATTTTTAATAGAGATGGAGTTTCACCATGTTGGCCAGGTTGGTTTCGAACTTCTGACCTCAAGTGATCCACCCGCCTCGGCCTCCCAAAGTGCTGGGATTACAGCAGACTGCAAATTCAGATGCCCCTTCCCTGTGTTTAAGAGTAAGAAAAACCTTGTAGATCTCTAGCAGTCTTCTCTTCCCTCACTGGGTGGAAATGCTCATTAATCCAGCCACAGCCATGCTGGAGGCACCTTGGTTGCCTTAGACACATCAATACTCCCCTGATGATGGGGGAACGCTGGCTCCGCTGTAGATGCTCCTGCTCTTGGGATCCCGTGAACACAACCCCCACCCCCACCGTTCACAGACACAGACAGGGGCTCTTAGGGAGCACAGGAGAAAACACTCAAGCAGGGAAATACTGTTCTTTAATGGACACCCTTCTGAAGTGATAGATTGTTCTACCCCAAAGAACAAATTTAAAGATATTCAACTTGGTGCCCGTGTCCAGGAAGAGAGCAGGGAGGGTGCTGGGCACAGACCCAGCCTAGCCCTCAGCATCACATAACAGGGTCACCACAGGATGAGAAACCATTCTATTAGTAGTAAAGAAACCTCTTCGAGAAATAGTGTTTTTGGTGGTTCATACATTTTAAAACACCTACAAGAGAATAAGCATACAAATTTCTAACACTGTCCAGACACAACACTGTTATATATAAAATCTAACAAATGTAAACTTAATTTTCAGCTTCTATTTGAAATCAGATGAAATGGCTTTTGATACATTAACCACCAGGGGAAATTTTTTTGAGGGAAGGAGTCCTTAATTCCACATGTCTTGGACTTGGATTTCTTAAGGTGAGTCCACAAACCCTCTTTATGTAACGTTGTGTGTTCTGTAGCTGTGTGCATTTCTTAAAAACTAGAGTCTCCAGGGGCGGACCTGGGAGCCTAACAAGTGAAGCCTGCTGGTGTAGAGGGGCCAGCAAGCCCTGCCTGCTCGGCACACCTGCCTGCATGTGCAGTGGAACTGAGTGGAGCAGAGTGTGAGTACTCACAATGTTCACCAAACCTGAGACATAGCAGGCAGTTTCCCAAGGACTAGGAAAGACATTCACAGTGGCGCAACTGTTTAGCTACCTCATTATGACCCACCTGTGTGTCCACACAGGTCAGGGCTACCCTTCAGTTTACCTGAGAAGCCTAGACCTCAGGACCGCCATCTCCTATGCTACTGTGCCCAGCCTGACCTGGCTGCTCACAGGTACCTGGCCATAATGCTTGGCCTCCTGGAAGCTCTGAAGCGGTGCAATTGTCCTGCAGAACATCGCAGCGTCAGGGTACCCTGCAGGCTGGTGAGGGGTGGGCAAGTAGGACCAGCAATGTCCTGCTCCATGTTCCAAACCCAGCAAGAGCTCACAGGGACCCACTAGACTGTGTAGGCTGTCACAGTCCCCAGGGTTATGCAACAGCAACTTGAAACAGACCAAGGAAGCTGCACAGGCCAATGGCAGGGGTGCTTGTCACTCGTCCTTCTCCTGCGGCAGAGGGAGATGCCAGTCTGGAGGGGGGCTCTGCCTCGGGGCCCACACCAGGATGTGCTTCCGTGCAGCCTGGACTCGTGCCCGCTCGCTCTCACAGAGGGATTGCTGTGCAAATAAGACTCTAGTCACTCCCCAGGCTCTGAGCACCCTCAAGACCCCTGTACCTCCCCCCAAAACACAGATGGACAGGAAGGGGCCTATGGTGCACACCACTGTGCAGCACAGCTGCATCCACCTACTATACCTTGGCGAGTATTCCATATTAGCGCACAGAGATTGAGATCATTTTGTTCTCACAAACTACTGTGAAAAACTACTGAATAGGTCATAATAATTTGAGGAATTTTTATATATCTTCTCCTGGACCTCAGGGCTCAATGGCTCTGGCTGACCTTGTGAGTCTGGGGCATATTCACCTGCTGAGAGTGAGCCTGGGGGTGGAGTGGAGAGGAGAGAAGAGTCTGAGACAGCAGCTGTGGGGAGCTGCAGGGAGGAGTGTGGTAGGGAAGAAGGGAGGAAGACAGGGAAGAAATACATGCCCAGGGTATCCTGGAAGGGTGGTAAGAGTTCAGAGGACAGACCACCTGCCTGAGTGGTGCCACAAGTGCCATTCAACCCATCAGCTTCTTCTAGCTACTGTATCCCAATACAGACACGGGTCAGTGTATCACAACACAGGAGACCTTCGCTGTGGGCCCTTGGTAAGTATCAGGTGCTATGTGAGCCTCTTTACACAGATCATTTAATCTGTCTACGTCTGTCTTTGTTCAAGCTCTATTGCCTCAAATAAAATATTTTGATCATGTTTAAAAAGCTATCAGAAATGTAGCACAGACTATTAAAGATTCTCAAATGTCCATTCCCAATGTGGCAGTTAACAGCTTCCCTGATACCGTTTTTTGGTCCAAATTTTAGAGCTAACATGTTTCCCTAATGATGAGATAATCTTCTGCTGGCTAGTCTACTTCCTGCTTTTTTTTCACTAAACAATACACTGTAGGCACTTTCCCACACCCAGGTAGATGACTGACTATTCCTTTCAAAGGCTATCCGGTATTTCACTTTGTGGAAAAAGCTAATTGGTCAAATGTCTATTAGTGAAATTTAGGTTGTTTTCAGCTTTTGCAGTATCAAAAACATAATTAGCATTCCGAACTTTTAACTGTACACTCTTATCCAATTACTTCCCTAGGATAAAGTTCCAGAAGTAAAACTTAAAGTCAAAAGGTATGCATCTGACATTTACATAATCAGAACACCCGACACCCCCACCAACACTGTACAACTACCCAGAATTCTTCAAACCCCCATCAACACTTAACGACTTTCTGCTGGGCAAAACCTGCTGTTACTGTCATTTAGACTTATATACCTGACACCTTGCCATTTGGTTTTTTTCTTTTTTGTTCGTGAGATGGAGTCTTACTGTACTGTTGGCCCAGGCTGGAGTGCAGTGACACGATCAACTCATTGCAACTTCTACCTCCCAGGTTTAAGCAATTCTCCTGTCTCAGCCTCCCGAGTAGCTGGGATTACAGGTGTGTGCCACCATCCATGGCTAATTTTCGTATTTTTAGTAGAGATGGAGTTTTGCCATGTTGCCAGGCTGGTCTCGAACTCCTGACCTCAGGTGATCTGCCCACCTTGGCCTCCCAAAGTGCTAGGATTACAGGCGTGAGCCACCACGCCCAGGCTTTTTTTTTTTCTTTTTTATTATTTTTATAAAGATGGAGTCTTACCACGTTGCCCATGGCTGGTCTCAAGCTCCTGGGCTCAAGCGATCCCCTTGCCTTGGCCTCCCAAAGTGCTGAGATTACAGGTGCCCACCAGCATGCCCACCTGGCTTTCTTTTTTAATGAATTGCTTCTTTGTGTCCTTTGGCCATTTTTCCATTCTGAAATAATCCCTATATTTCTTATTGATATAAAAGAGCTCTTTATACACACACGCGCAGATATACATACATTAAAATTATCAATCTCTTGCTATACAGGCTGTCAGCTTTCTTACTTTTTTTGAGTTTCACATATTATGGAATAGTCATAATTTTCTTTTATACAGCAATCTGGTTTCCACATCAGTTCATCTCTTTCAGATCACTGTATACACTTAACAATGTTGAAGTGTTGATCAGTCCCATTGATTCTCATTCCTTGGCACTCCCCATGAGCCTTGCACCTTTCAGCTGGCTTCTCTCCATCTCCTCTCTCACAAGGGGTCCACCGTAGGACTGTATATTCTAGACTACAGTGTGGGTGCCAGGAGGGCAGAGACTCTTCTTATCACTCGTGCATCCCCAAGAATACCCAATGTAGTACATATTTGCTGGATGAATAAACAACTAGAACCACCTCCTTACTGATCTCTCTGCTCCTGTAAAATACTCTCTACACCCTAGCAAACAGATTGAACTTTTTTCCTCTTTTTTTTTTTTTTTTTCCTGAGACAGGTCTCCCTCTGTTGCCCAGGCTGGTGTGCAGTGGCGTGACCATAGCTCACTGCAGCTCTGAACTCCTGGGCTTAGGCGATCCTCCCACCTCACTCTCCCAAGTAGCTGGGACCACAGGTGCACGTCACCACACTTTGCTAACAGACTGATCTGTTAAAGATATAAATCGAATTATGCTTCCCAGCACACTTTAGACTAAACTCTAAACTCCGTATCAAGGTCCACCAGGTCCCTGGTATACCGCTTTCCAACCATCCACCTACCCTCTGCTTCAGGAACACAGGCCTTCTCTGTTTCTCAGCAGTGTCTACCGGGGCTGGATGAAGGCTGGCTCCTGGTCACTCAGGACTCAGCAACATCACCTCCTGCGTAGGCCAGCTGATGACCCTAACATTGGACGGTTGCCCTCTTTGCTCTCTAAACCACTCTACACCCTCCTCGCTGGTCTCCTTCGTTGTCTTTCACGCCCTCTGAAAGTCCTGTTGATATGCTAATTTATACCAACTCTCAAAAGAAAGGAAGCGTGAGGAGGGTAGGGACCTTGACAGTTCCCGGCTAGGTCGCGGGGCCTGGGGCGTGAAGGGGTGGGGAAAGCTGGGCCCTGCAAGGCGCTCCGAAGCGCCGCCCCGCTCCCTCCCGGCGCACCTGGGCCTCGGCGCTCCGGCGCTCCTCCCAGTCGCGGCAGCTGGCCAGGTCGCGCCGCCACTGTTCGCAGGCCGGCCGCTCGCCGTGGACGTAGTAGTGGTGCAGGAAGTGCCTGGCGCTGCGGCATAGCTTCCACTCGGCGCGGTAGGCCTCGCAGGGGCGCGGCGGCTGCGGCGAGAGGCGGCGCCTGAGTGGGGCCCGGCGGCCGCGCCCCACGCCCGGAGCCTGTCCCGTTCCCTCCCTCCGGAAGACCCTGGTGGTTCCCGGCTCCCGAGCACACTCACCTGCCAGCCGCTGCTGTCCGCCATGTCTGGACGACCGGGGCGCCAAGCCCGCCCCTCAGTCCGCCAGCCAATGAAGAATGAAGAAAGCGGCACCTCGTGATCGACTGACAGAATAACTAATAAGCACCGACACATTCAATTACAGTTTCGCCCCCATCTTAGAGAAGCTCGGACAAACAGGACGAGCAACCAATAGCAACCGAGGGCGGCTGCGGCGCGCGGAGGGCCAGGGTCGCAGGGTAAGTCCGGGACGAGGCCTGGCGCGGAGCCTACTCGGCCACCGCGAAGCCAGCGCCATTCACCCCGGGCCATGAGGGCATCCTGGGCCGCGCAGCTACCTTTTGTCAGTCGCCTCTAAAATCACACTGCTCTGGCCAGTTCTTTTTAGCAGCTTTATGAGATTTTCTCAAATCTCAACAATGCGGTTTATTTTCAAAAGTATGTACTGAGCATCAAGTTGGTGCAGCGAACCTCCCAGATCTGCAGCTCTGGCGGTCTTGTCTGAGCGTCCACTCAGGATGGAGGTGAACTCGCAAAGTAACCAAGGTTGGTTGGGCATGACGTGTGGTGGATCTAGGGTTGGATGACCTGCCCAGGGAACGCAGGCTTGAAGTGGAGGCTGAGAAGGCAATCCGAGCACGGCCATAGGCCGGTCAAAGGCATGGAGGCGGTGTGTAGCACGGGTGAGTGGGGTAGGAGTGGCTTGGATGTCTGTAGCTCGATTCTAAGGGTGCGGGAGACATGTAACATTTACCTTATTTATTTTTCGAGACAGGGTCTTGCTGTGTCACCCAGGCTTACATGCGACCTCGAACTCCAGGACTTTGAACAGCTGGGACCACAAGCATGCACCGCCTCACCAGGCTAATTTTTAGTTTTTTGGTTTTTGTTTTTTTTTTTTTTTTGGTAAAGATGTGGTCTTGCTAAGTTACTCAGGCTAGTTTGGCCTCAAGCGATCCTCTCACTTTGGCCTCCCAAAGTGCTAGGATTATAGGCTGAGCGACAACGCCTGGCTGCAACGTTTATAAAAAGGAGCAATGCACAAGAGGCAACAAAGGCAAGTAAAGGGGAAGCTGGTGGGCTTGCAGAAGTGCCCACTGGGACAGACTCCCTGGAGGTGGGTCAGAAAGCTGCAGTTTTACCAGGGGTCCTGCTGTTGAGGCAGCTGGCTCAAGGACCAAGCCCAAAGAAGACACTGGGAGGAAGGCTGCAGGCCAGGGTGCAGGAGTAACGACCAGGATCAGTGCTCCAACTGGCCCCACTAAAAGGCCCTGGAATGGAATCCATCCTGGTCCAGGCAGGGGAGTGTGCCTCCAGCAAAGGACCAGGCGTTTCACTGCATACACAGCAGGTGTTACTTAGTGAAGACAAAAACCCAGAGCCAGAGGTACTGCAACATTCTTGATTATGTATAAAGTGACAATTTGTTAGCTGATGTGATCCTGCAAATGAAAGCTGCTACCCACCAAGGAGGGTTTCTCCCTCTGCTAGTAAAACTGAGACTTTGTCAGTGGAGGGTCAGGTAAGTCCCCACAGTGCTCACGCCTTCCAAAACCACGCCTAGTTCCAGTGATGATGGTTTGTGCCACAGGCCAAGTACTGAACATCATGACACTCATAGACACTCTTCACTGAAGACATGTGGATAGACCCTGGGGCCACCATCCTCTCCTCTCTGGAGTGTTGGAGGGGCCCTGACCAGGGCAGGATCCCCATGCCTAGAAGCAGGGTCAGCCCTGGCTCATGGGGGACCCCGCTGGGCTTAGCCATTGCCACCTAGGAATCAGGCAGCCTTGTTTCTTCCTACTTTCTCCAGGAGAAGCCCCAGATGGGAAGTTTTCTAATGGTGAGATGGAACACGGGGCATCTGCCAACAGGACTTCCTTCAGTTCTGGTCAGAGGCCCAACCACCAGTCTGTGTTAGTACCTAATCAAACATTTAGATTTAGGCTTTAGTTATTGCCTGTTTTTACTTGAAATTCTTGGCTTAGAATTATTCCCAATGGGGCCAGGCACAGTGGCTCATGGGAACAAATTTAAAATAATCAGATTAGCATGTCAAAAGATCTCACGTTATAGAAAGTGAAGACCTAAGACCAAATAAATATTGATAAAAAATAAAGACAGGCCAGCAGAAGCTTGGATGATTTAATAAATTAAAATTAGGAGTGGGGGAGTAGGGAAGAAAGAGAGGAACATCTCTTTAGCATTTGTTCATTCCAACATTCACGTTTGCTTCTCCGTGGAGTTGTTTCACTATGAACAGGTTCACTAAGGAGCCAGTTATGTCCATATGAAATGAGAATAAAAGTGTAAACTCATTCAGATCAGGTTTTTCTGAGTGATGTTTTTGAAAAAAATATGGAAAATAAAAATAGAAACATTCTTTGTCAAATACTTAAATTGCAGCCACAGTAGTGGGACAGCCACTATTTATAGAACACACGTCTATTTAAACCCTTTTTTTAGGCCAAAGACTGACACCTATGCAACTGACCTAGGAAAAGAAAGGATAAATGAAAAAGAAAGAACACTTCATGTTAGACAATTTAGTCACCTCCATTGGTTTTGACAGAATTAGGGATACAGAATTGCTCCTGCTGAGGCAGTGGGAGCCCCCCTCAAGCTGAAAGCATGAAGAGGTGAGGCGGCAGCTGCCTACAGGCCCTCAGGGACAGCTCTTTGTCTTTCCCCAAATCAAGCGTACAACTACAAAGTCCTGCTGCTCCACTTCAAGTAAAACTTGATAATTCTTAGGTAACTCTAAGCAAATCTTAAGTAACAGAGTATTCTGATGAGGCTCATCCCTGTCAGTGCCAGTAACTAAAAGCCAAGATGTTGCAATTTATTCTTTTATTATTTTCCAGTCAGCCAACAGTCCTCACTTAGGGCTTTCTTCCCTTCTTACGCAATGACTGTCCTTCCCCAGAGAAAGCGACGAATCTGCCTCCAGCTTCATCCTAGGTGTGAAGAGAAGATACTATTTTCAGAAACTCCCTGGAGATTTACAATAAATGCCTTACTCTATAGACTCACGTACCATCCATATTACTCATAAGAAATGTCTCAGGCTGGACACGACAGCTGACACCTGTAATCCCAGCACTTTGGAAGGTAAAGGTGGGAGGAACGCTTGAGCCCAGGAGTTCAAGACCAGCCTGGGCAACATAGTGAGACCCCATCTCTACCAAAAATAGCTTGGTGTGGTATGTGCCTATGGTCCTAGCTACTTGGGAGGCTGAGATGGGAGGATGGTTTGAGCCAAGGCCATAGTGAGCTATGATTGTGCCACTGCACTCCAGCCTGGATGGCAGAGCAACAGAGCAAGACCCTGCCTCAAAAAAAAAAAAAATCTCTAAGTTCATCACCCAAAAACTTCAGGTCACTTTTCTGTACATGCTTGAAGAACTGTTTTCCCACTTAATTCTGAAGTCTCATGCCAATAAACTTATCTAGTATACTCCCAAGGCTACAGAACTGAATTCTGTTAAAAAGAATTCCATTATGTAGGAGAGCCAGTTTTCTATCAGTGGACATTGCTGTGGTAAGCAGCTTAATGTATTTGCACACAGCTCTGATATTTTTTTAGAGCTCAAAGTCCTGGGTCAAAGCGTGTACACATTTTTAATGCTTTTAACTTATAGAGAACAACCAGCCCTCAGAAACATTCTACTAAGCTATCCTTCCATCAGCAGAAAGAGGGATTGTTTTTTCCCAAGCCTTTGAAAACTGCAAATATTTTTTTTCACATATTTTTATTGCTAGTCAGTCTGAGGCATTACCTCAACTTTTCCCTAGGAAGAAGAGGATTCTGGAATGTTCAACACAAATCCCTGCACCTGGCTCCCCACTAACTGTAGCATGTTATACCTGCAGTAGAACACCATTTAGTATTTATGTGGTAATATTCATGTAAATTTGAGTCACGGCTGCATTTAGTCTTCCTTTGCCACACAGCCTTCCATTTATCCTGGTGTCAATAGCTGTGTTTGGCTTTTTTCTCTATATATTCAATCACAGCCTGCATTGCATGGAGTTCATCTGTTTTGACAAAGCTGTGTCCTCCTGGGCCTTCACCCTGCCATACCTGGACTGGCCTTTCTCTAGGTGCCATACGTGTTAGTGGGGGCTCCTTATTTCCTGGATTCTATGACTTTATTTCTACCTTATTCCTTCATTTTAGTGAGGGACACCTTCTAGGAGCTTCCTGAGAAAAGATGCATAAGGATTATCTTCTTGTGAGTTCCTTTTTTCTACTCTCATATTTCATTGATAGTCTGCTTGGTATGTTAGTCTACTAGGGCTGCCATATAAAATGCCAAAGACAGCGTGGCTCAAACAACAGAAATTTCTTGTTCATAGTTTTGGAGGCTAGAAGTGCAGGATCAAGGTGTCAGCAGGTTTGGTCTCCTCTGATGCCCTTTTCCTTGACTTGCAGATGGCTGCCTTCTTGCTGTGTCCTCACATGGCCCCTCCTATGTCCAAATTTTTTTTTTTTTTTTTTTTTTAGACGGGGTCTCACTTTGTTCCCCAGGCTGGAGTGCAGTGGCGCGATCTGGGCTTACTGCAAGCTCCGCCTCCCTGGTTCACACCATTCTCCTGCCTCAGCCTCCCAGGCTCCCGCCACCACACCCGGCTAATTTTTTGTATTTTTAGTAGAGATGGGGTTTCACCATGTTGGCCAGGCTGGTCTCTCGATCTCCTGACCTTGTGATCCACCCGCCTCGGCCTCCCAAAGTGCTGGGATTACAGGCGTGAGCCACCACACCCAGCCCAAATTTCCTCTTCTTAAAAGGACACCAGATTGAATTAGGGCCAACTCTAATGGTCTTATAACTTAATTGCTTCTTTAAATGGCCCTATCTGAGTTACTGGGGGTCAGGGCTTCAACACAGAAACACTGGAGGGACACAATCCAGCTCTTAAGAGTTGGTACAGAATTTTAGGTTGGAAAAAATTTCAGAATTTTGAGGATATTGCTCCACTATCTTCTAGTTTCCTCTGTGTCCTGCTAAGATGATGTCCCTTTTTTGGGAGACAGGGTCTTACTGTTACCCAGGCTGGAGTGCAGTGGTGTGATCTCAGTTCACAGCAGCAGCCTGCACCTCCCAGGCTCAAGTGATGCTCCCAACTCAGCCTCGAAGTAGCTGGGACTACAGGTGCGTGCCGCCATGCTGGGCTAATTTTAAAATTTTCTGTAGAGACAGGGTCTCCCTATATTGCCCAGGCTGGTCTCAAACTCCTGGGCTCAAATGATCTTCCCGCCTCAGCCTCCCAAAGTGTTGGGATTACAGGCGTGAGCCATGGCGCTTGGCTGATGATGTCCTTGATCCATGGTGATACCTCTGTTCTCTCTCCAGAAGCTTTAGGATCTTTCTTTGCCCCAAAGTGGGGCTATTTTGATTCATTTTGCTGGAACTCAGTGGGCCCTTCAAATCTGCGAACTTGTGTCCATCTTTGGGGAAACTATTTCCCTGATGATTTCTGCTCCTTTGGTTTCTGTGGCTGTTCTTCCCACAAATCCTCTACTATTTAGATGTTGGACTGGGAAGCTTTCTGACTCTGGCCTTCACTTCAGAGGTAACAGTCTAGAGTGCTACTGGAGTCGGGCCTCCAGCCTTCTGGGGTGGGGGAGGGAGGGTAATGCAGCTCTAACTGCTTAGTAACAGAGTTCTGTCATTAGTCCCTCATTTCTAGAGGTGCCTTTTGAGAATTCTACAGTCTACACACAATCTACACAGAACTGCTTCTAGGCTTTTTATGATCTGCTAAGGTACCCTGGGTTTTCAAAGCCTTGTAGTTGCCTCCTCTTCCACTGTCTTTCTTACCTCATGACCTTTAGCCACAGCCTTAGTGGGGCTGCAGGATGGAGTAGAGCTAAATGTGTCTTCAATCCCATCTTTAAACATATACTTCTTAAATACATATTTATGGTCAAACAGGCCTGCTGTGCCCACCGGCCTACCCCGCCTTCTGTAAATTTGCAACAGTCAAGTCACAGTCAGCCTGGGGGATGTCCCATGCTGAGGTCTTAGGTCTGAGTCAGGCACTGGCTTTTAGTGAGAAAGGCAGCCTGTAGCTGGTGAAGCCTGGATGGTGCCTGAGGGAGGGGCTGGAGGGTGAGGTCTGATTGGCCACTATGTTTGCTCCTCTGGGCCTGAAAGGTCTCAACTTGAACATCAAGCCCAGAAGTGATTGTGAGTAGGACCAGGTGTGCAAACTTCACAGTGGTCTCTGTCCCCAACCACCCCAAGTGCTAGAGAGAGTTCGGTAATCAGGATGGGCCAGGGATGGGTCCTATGTAGCAGCTGGCCCTGAATGGGTGACTCAGTACATCTGCCCTTGGCCCTACTCCTGGATCCTCAAGGGTCCAATCCTTTGAGAAAAGGAACCAGGAAAGCGATGGGTCTGAAGTGCTGGTGTTCTAGAAATCCTCATCACACAGAGGTGACTGCGTTCCACTTGCTGCTGGGCCTGGCCCACTCCCACAAAGTGCCCATGTCTATAGGATGCTCAGCCCTTGCCTTCCTCTGTCCCACCACCACCCTGCTCAGCTGGAAGGTACTCCCTATATTTGAAGTTCAAGGTCTCTGTTGGAAGATGAAGCCCACCCAGGGCACACAGTTCTGTGATAACAGAGCCTGGAGTCAGCTCTAGAGCAAGACAGAGGTCCTGACCCCCATGCTGCAAGTCTTCTGTTTCACACACCTCACACCAGCACTACAGAAAAAAACAGGACACCAGGGAGCAGAGGGACCCCAGGAAAGGGAAAACATCACAGATACCCTGATGTGGTTTGGCTGTGTCCCTACCCAAATCTCATCTTGAATTCCCACGTGTTGTGGGAGGGACCCAGTGGGAGGGAACTGAGTTGGTGGAAGGTAACTGAGTCATGAGGGCGGGTCTTTTCCGTGCTGTTCTCATGAGTGAATAAGTCTCATGAGATCTGATGGTTTTATAAGGAGGTGGTTCCCTGCGCCAGCTTTTTCTCCGCGTGCTACCATCCATGTAAGATGTGACTTGCTCCTCCTTGCCTTCTGCCATGATTATGAGGCCTCCCCAGCCATGTGGAACTGTAAGTCCATTAAACCTCTTTCTTTTGTAAATTGCCCAGTCTCCGGTATGTCTTTACCAGCAGCTTGGAAACAGACTAATACACACCCCTACTCAGAATGCCAGGAACCTCAGTCATCACTAGCAAATAAATCTCCTCATTACCAACCAAGGAAATACACTCACCTCTTCAACCTTTTTGACAAGGGGACGTGAATTTCTGATGAAAGTTATCTTACCAAGTTTAAATTCATAATTGGGAATTCCTCTGTAAGAAGAGAGAGACAAGGAGAAATGTTATTTCCAGGAAAAAAGGACTAAAATTCATTTATGACAGTGAAGAGGAATGCAGAAAAGATGCTGCTGCACCCCACCTGGGCCCTTTGGTGCTTCCTGGCATCCTCCCAGGAGGGAAGCAGAAGGTAACTGGCTTCCTGGTTTAGTATCAGCATTGGGTATAGGGCCAGGGGCTTTAGGCTCTGTACCTGTCTATGGAGAGGGGTCATCTGAAGGATTGGGAAGCCCTCACTGTCACTGTCCTGAGCTTCACAGAACCCCCTGAGGTGGCTAGACTCTCACTCCAGTATTCTCCTGATTTCACACACACAACAGACAACTGACACACCTCAGCCCTGCCCCTGCCATCATGGCCACCAGAGGAAGGGTCTGCTGTGGGTCCCTGGACCCAGCAACAGAAGCACATCTGAGGTAGCTCCTCAGGGAACTTTCAGGAGAACTAAGATAATGTGACCTGATTAATAATTCAAAGTCACAAAACAGGAAAATAGGCAGATCACCAAATAGGGACCAGAAGGGTTTTGAATAAGAGACAGATCTGATCAGACGCACATCTTCGGAAAGCCACTGGGGGCAAGAAGACGCTGAATTGGAGGTATGGAGTGAGGCTGGACCACAGTGGTACTGGGGGTGGCACTGTGGAAGGAGGGACATGTTGTGCTCCACCCTACCAAGGAGAGCAGGTAAGGGTAAAGTCCCTTGGGCCTACTGACCCAGGCTTTGTCTCCAGAACTGGGGTGAGGCTGCCCCACCCCAGAGGGCTGGCACAGATCCTCCTCCTGTCCTGAAGGACAGCCAGGACAGACTTACCTTTTAATATCTCCAGGCTTGATTGGGGAGGGGCTGGGCTCCACCCCTTTCTTCTTTCCATCCAGTCTATTGCCAGAGCCGGAGAAAGCCTAGACAGGAAGTAATTGAGTCATATAATGAGCCCAAATGTGAGGACAGATATGTCCTTTGCTTGGAGATCACTGCAGGGATGTGAGCTGGGGTGCTGTGCAGACCCTTCAGGACCGAAGCCCTGACTCCTCAGCTGCTGGGGTGCTGGCAGCTGAGAACTCTGTCCAGTTCCTCAGGGGGCGGCCATGAGCTGAAGACAGCCACTTGGCCAAGGGCAGCCAGCAGTCAGTGTTAGGTTAAAAGGCCTGACCCCTGCCTCTGCAGGGCCACCCAGTTCAAGCTCTGTGGGTGGGCTAAGGCCACTGTTGTGACTGCCCCATAGCTCAGCTTCCCATCATTCTGCTGTCTCTGCTGCTTCCTGGCACCTCCTGCCACCTCAGTGCCCACACATGAGCCACCTCCACCTGTTTCCCACGGAGCCTTGCCAGTGGTTATGCTAAGGGTCATGTTTGCAACCCACATGGTACAGGCAAAGAAAAAAGGAAACATGCTTTACGAGAGAGAAAGCAAATGTGGTAACGTTTGGTGAACCTAAGGGAAGAGTATATGTCTACTGTACTATTTAAACTCTACGGTAGGTTAGAAATTCTTAAAAAGCTGGGCTGCCTTATGGGGCTGTTGGGAAGATTCCAGCAGAGAGTGGATATAAAAGTGTTTGGTAACTGAGCAAGTGGTAGATTTGCATGCATGTGCACAAGTACCCAGAGGCCCAGCCCCTGCTGATGTCCATCGAGCATCATGGAGAACAGCTTGAGTGAGTGCTCTAATTTCAAGAAGCAGAGGGCACAGCAACGTAAGTCAAGTGGTCTGGTACTCACGCGGAAGCCCAGCTCTCCAGCATAGCCACTGTGGTCGGCTTCACCTTCCTGACAGAGAAAAAGAAAAATAGGTGAGCTCCTCAGCGGGAACACCCAGCTTCCCTCTCATTACCCACCCCCAGCTAGAATGTCCCCCGGAAGCATGGCTGGAAGGGACGCAGAGGATATGACACCAACACCAGCAGAGGCCACCCACGAGTCACTACCAGGAACTCAAAAGCAGCATGCAGCAGGACAGCAAAGGACACTGAGGATAACACTTACTGTCGACTCCTCATGCTGGACTTGTCTTTCAGGTTCTTTGTAGCCCAGGGGAGCATCAAAGTCCACCTGTGTTTCCAGGATTTTAAAAGTAAAATATTCAGACATGGCCACCCTTGGCTTCCTTATCTTTTTTGCTTTTAATTGAGACAACTATAGATTCACATGCAGTTTTAAGAAATAATACAGAAAGATGCCTTGTACACTTGCCCAGTTTTCCCAACGGTAGCATCTTACAAAATTACAGTAAAGTATTGCTGCCAAGATATTAACACTGGCACAACCCACCACTCTTATTCAGATTTCCCAGTTTTACATGTTTTTGTTTATGTGTATCTTTAGTTCTACACAATGTAATCACTGTGTAGGGCCATGTATCCACCACAGTCGAGATGAAGAACAGTTTCACCACCACTAGGATTGCCCATGTTGTCTTTTTATAACCATACCCAGCTGTCTCCCAGCCCCCTCCACCAGTCCTAAGCCCTGGCAACCCCTAGTCTGTCTTCCATTTCTAAAGTTCTGTCACTTTAAGGATGCTATATAATGAAGTAACTTTTTGGGATTGGCCTTTTTTGCTCAGCAGTATTCCCTAGTAATACAACCAGGATGCTGTGTGCATCAGCACTTCATTCCTACTCAGAAGGTTCAGCACGCTTCCTTAGCTCTTAAGAATATTCACTCCTCGGCCAGGCATGGTGGCCCATATCTGTAATCTCAGCACTTTGGGAGGCCAAGGTGGGTGGATTACCTGAGGTGAGGAGTTTGAGACCAGCGTGGCCAACATGGTAAAACCTCGTCTCTACTAAAATACAAAACTAGCCGAGCATGGTGGCACATGCCTGTAATCCCAGCTACTCGGGAGGCTGAGACAGGAGAATCGCTTGAACCTGGGAGGTGGAGGTTGTAACCAAGATCAGGCCCCTGCACTCCAGCCTGGGCAACAGGAGTGAAACAGTCTCAAAAAATAAATAAATAAATAAATAAATAAAATTCACTCCTCAACAGGTCAGAGCTAACCATGGCAGCACTGGCAACACTCTGTTGCCTCAACTGGCCCTGAGATAGATGACAAGGTCACAGTCTCCTCATGATGTTCTGACAGCGTCTTCCTCCTCTTTGCCCAAAGAGTCCCAGGGGCTGTTTGATGCCCTCCTGACACCCTGGCCTGCAGTGGTCACCAAGTGCCCATCCTCCCAGGGCCCAGGCTCACTGTAACTGGACAGAGCCACTCACGTTCATGTCACACTCAATGATGGACACTGCCTTATCAGGTTTGGTCTCCATCACACGCAGTTCGTAGATCTGTGAGGCAAACACAGAAATCAGTTGGATGGTTTCCTGGCAGCACCGAAGCTGTCGCTGTCCATGTTACTGTGGCTCTACCGGCTCCTGCGAATGACACAGCATTCACGCCCACGACACAACCTACAGCTGCACTTCTTGCTGTGACAACACTACCATAAGGGACAGGCTGCCCTGTGCCCATCGCAGAAGAGATGCTGTTCCCCAGATGTGGTTCAAATTAGACAAGGTAGTTATACAGCTAACTGCAAAAGACACTAACAATCTCTAACTCAGAAAGTTCACTTCTGGAACTTTACTATTTATTTTATTTATTTTTAGACAGAGTCTTGCCCTATTGCCCAGGCTGGAGTGCAGTGGTGTGATCTCGGCTCACTGGAACCTCCGCCTCCTGGCTTCAAGCACTTCTCCTGCCTCAGCCTCCCTAGTAGCTGGGACTATAGGCATGCGCCACCACACGTGGCTAATTTGTGTATTGTTGTAGAGACGGGGTTTCACCATGTTGACCAGGCTGGTCTTGAACTCCTGACCTCAGGTGATCTGCCCACCTGAGCCACCCAAAGAGCTGGGATTACAGACGTGAGCCACCGCACTTGGCCTTCAAAATTTATTCTAAGTAAATAACTAGCTATTCCCAATGAGAACATTCTAAGAAGGCTCATACCAATGTCACTAATGCCACTGTACAGATGCGCCTTGACTTACGATGGAACCGAGTCCCATAAACTTATCATAAGTTAAAAATGTATTAATACTCCTAACCTACCAAACATCATAGTGCAGCCTGCCTTAACTATTCTCAGAACACATACGTTAGCCTAGAGTTGGGCAAAATCATCTAATATAAAGCTTATTTCATAATCAAATGTTGAATAACTCATGTAATTTATTGAATACTGTACTGAAGATAAAAAACAATGGTTTTATAAATATTCAAAGTATGGTTTTTACTGAATGTGTATCATGTTTGAATCATCACAAAGTTGAAAAATTCTAGGTAGAACCATGGTCAGGGACTGTCTGTATACTCAAGATGCAGCTGAATTATATTTGTTCATATATAAATTTATAGTTATACAACGGTATGCTATGCAGCCAACAGGAAAAGAATTTTAAAACCAGTCATGTTGCTTGTGTCTAAGATGACCTCGCGAATGTAAAAAATGCACATGAAAAATGTCCAGAAGCAGGGCTGTGCATATTGGCTCACACCTGTAATCCCAGCACTTTGGGAGGCTGAGGCAGGCGGATCACGAGGTCAGGCGAACGAGACCATCCTGGCTAACATGGTGAAACCCTGTCTCTACTAAAAAATACAAAAACTTAGCTAGGAGTGGTGGCAGGCTCCTGTAGTCCCAGGAGGCTGAGGCAGGAGAATGGTGTGAACCCGGGAGGTGGAGCTTGCAGTAAGCCGAGATCGCACCACTGCACTCCAGCCTGGGCGACAGAGTGCGCGAGACTCCCACCCAAAAAAAAAAAAAAAAAAAAAAAAAAAAAAAAAAAAACTTCCAGAAGCACAGAAATTAAAAGTGGCCCTATCTACTTTTTCCTGCATCATTTCAGGTTCTTTGCTTTTATCTAAAGTCTGTCTTGCCTTTATTTTTTTGAGATGGAGTCTCGCTCTGCCACCCAAGCTGGAGTGTAATGGTGTGGTCTCAATTCACTGCAACCTTCGCCTCCCAGGTTCAAGCGATTCTCTTGCCTCAGCCTCCCAAGTAACTGGGACTACAGATGCATGCCACCACACCTGGCTAATTTTTGTATTTTTAGTAGAGACGGGGTTTCACTATGTTGGCCAGGCTGCCCTTGAACTCCTGACCTTGTGATTCCCCCCCCTTGGCCTCCCAAAGTGCTGGGATTACAGGGGTGAGCCACCGCGCCTGGCCAGTATGTCTTGCTTTTACAATCATTTAAAAAAGTCTGGATAGTCCCACCATTTAAAAAAAAAAACCTAAGCAGGGCCAAATCTACTTTTAAAAGTGTCGTAATTATTGAATAAACAAGGAATAAAAAGGATCTGTCATTGTGTGGATATACTACCATTTATCCACTGAGCATCCCGCCTGTTTCCAATCATTTTGCGATGTTAATGACACTACTATAAACATTCAAACATGTCTCCTAGGGCTTGGCTCAAGCTTCTCTACCGTTTTTATGTGTTCAAATTGCAGGCCACAACCAATCAGTGGGTCATAAAACCAATAGGGCTGCAAGCAGAACTGAAAAGGAAAGAATTGGAGGACAGTACCCTAGAAGTACCAGAATATATTGCATTTAGTAAGGATAAATATTCCTGTGACATTTTCCATTTACTTTTATGTATTGGCATAATATTAAACACTTTTTTTTTTTTTTTTAAACTATGGGACCACTTTTCTAGGTTGGTACTCCTCAAACTACCTGGGAAGACCTAGTTTTTAAAAATGTGCAGTCTGCTGGACTGCCACGTGGTCCTCTTGCACAGAAGCAAGACACAACACACACCAGATGCCCAGAGTTCACCAGGACAAGGACCGGTTCTGTGGCCATCTGTGTGGAGGTTACGACAATGCCAAATTGCTATACGTTTCTAAACATTCACTTTTGACTCCTGCTTCCCCCAGGCCCTGGCAACCACCATTCTTTTTTTTTTTTTTTTTTTTCTTGAGGCAGGGTCTTGCTCTGTCCCCCAGGCTGGAGTGCAGTGCCATGACCCTGGCTCACTGCAGACTTAACTGATCCTCCCGCCTCAGCCTCCTGAATAGCTGTAACTATAGGCACATGCCACCACACCCAGCTAATTTTTAAAATTTTGCATTACTTTTTTGTAGTGACAAGATCTCACTATGTTACCCAGGCTACTCTCAAACTCTCGGGTTCAAACAATCCTCCGGCCTTTGCCTCCCAAAGTGCCGGGATGCCAGGTGTGAGCCATGGTGCCCAAGTGATTCTACTTTCTGTCTTCCATGAATTTGACTACTCTAAGTACCTCATGTAAGTGGAATTGTAGTATTTGTCTGTCTGCATCTGGTTTATTTCACTGAGCAGAATATTCATCCATGTGGTAGCATGTGTCAGAATTACCTTCCTTTTTAATGTTGAATAATATTACATTGTATGTGTATACCACACATTATTTACCCATTCATCTGCAATTTATTTTTTACTGTGGTGTGAGTTAGGAACTCAATTCGTTTTTTCATCTTAGGAATAGTCAATATCCTAGATTCCCCAACCCCAGTATCTCCTTTGCCTGGTGACATCAATGTTGCCTCAGTGGTGGACCAAGATTCTTTGTATATAAGGCTTTGTTCCACTGGCCTACTTGTCTACTCCAGAACCAACGCCATATGGCATCTTAACTACTGGAGCTTTATTACACTAAGCTGCCACATAGAATCTTCCTTATATATGACTAGATTCTTTTGTCAATATTTTATCTACAATCTATATATCTGTATCAAGTGACAATGATCTGTAATTTACCTTTCTCCTATCCTTGTGTGGTTTTGGTGATCAAGGTTATACCGACCTCAGAGAATGAACTGGGGAATATTTTCTTTCTCTATTTTCAGAATATCCAAGAGCAATTTATTTCTTGAGTGTGAGGAAGAACTTGCATATATAACCATCTGGGCCTGGGTTTCCTGGATTAAGATTTTTCTGACTGAATTACTTGACTGGCTATACAATTATTTAGGCTGTTTGTTTTTTTTCTTTAGTCAAACTTCAATTATACTTTCCTCTAGGAAATAATTTATCAATGTCACATAAGTTGGCTGATTTCTTAGTATAAAATTTTTCACAGTTGTTTTATCTTTCAAGGTATCTGCTTTATCTAAGTCATTTTATACCTTTTTAAACATTCAATATGTATGTAGACTTTTCAGGGTTTGCTTTTTTTTTTGTTTGAGGCAAGGTCTCGCTTTATCACCTAGGCTGGAGTGCAGTGGCACGGTCACTGTTCACTGTAACTTCTGCCTCCTGGACTCAAGCGATCCTCCCACTTCAGCCTCCCGAGTAGCTGGGACTACAAGTGCATGCCACTATGCCCAGCGAATTTTTGTATTTTTTGTTGAGATGGAGTTTTGCCATGTTGCCCAGTCTGGTCTCAAACTCCTGGACTTAAGTGATCCACCCACCTCAGCCTGCCATATTGCTGGGATTACAGGTGTGAGCCACCACACCCAGCTTCAGCTATCTTTTTAAATTAACTTTATTGAATAGTAAACAGAAAACTTCAATTCCAAACAACTCTCTCAACAGAGTGAGTCTAGGCTGGGCGTGGTGGCTCACGTCTATAATCCCAGCACTTTGGGAGGCTGAGGCAGATGGATCACCCGAGGTCAGGAGTTCAAGACCAGCCTGGCCAACATGGTGAAACCCCGTCTCTACTAAAAATACAAAATTAGCCACATGTGGTGGCACATGCCTGTAGTCCCAGCTACTTAGGAGGCTGAGATGAGACAGGAGAATCGCTTGAACTCGGAGGCGGTAGCTGAAGTGAACCAAGATTGCACCACTGCACTCTAGCCAGGGTGAGACAAAGAGAGACTCTGTCTCACAAAAAAGGAGAGTAAGTCTTTACTTACTCTTTTCCAACATTTTAGATGTCATTTTTTAAGCTTCGTATATTAAACATTATAACTGCTTTATATGGCAACATTTACCCTGGCTTCATATTTGCCAATTTATTTATTCCCTATTCCTTCTTGCTTTCCTTCTAGGATAATGCTTATTCCTAAAGTACATGCTTTTAAAATTCCATTGGTAAATAACCTCTCTTGGTTCATGTGAAAATATTTTTACTTTGCCCTTATTCTTTAAGGAAGGTTTTGATGATAGTTACTTGATACTGGCTGTAACTGTTGCTATTCAAAGACCTGCTACTTGCTGTTCTTCTGTAGATACTGTGTTTTCTCCCTGCTTAACTCTCTGTATTTGGTATTTTCTACCTGTAGCTTATTCTGTTTGTTATACATTATAAACTTCCTGTAGTGATGGGCTGACCACCAATTCTAAATCAATCTCAGTTATCATCTTTTCAGATTATTGCAATTCCTCCATTCTTTCCTACTAGGATTGCAACGGGCATGTTTTCTCAGTGTCTTCAACATCTCAAGCTCTCGTATATTCCATCCCCTTGCTCCTCTGTGTGAAATTCTGTTATTTATTCAGATTCATCATCATTAACTCTTTTATAGCTGTTGTTTAACGTTTTGTTTTTCAAATCTTTCTGGTTATTTTTGATAGCCTTTTGTTGCTTGCTATTGTAATTCCATTTTTAAAAATATCTTTGAACATTTTATATCTAATTATTTTACATTTGTATCTAGAAATTCTAATGCTGATTTCCTTAGGTATCTAATTTTTATTGTCTCTGCTTTGGTTTGGTTTAATTATGCATTCTTGTTTGCTTGTTCAATTGACAGCAATCCCAAAGGCTTAACTAAACTGGAGTGCTTTTTCCAGAGAGGATCTGTGTTTATTTCTCCTGAGACAAGGACAACACCCACCTCTGTGTCTATTTTACTGCTTTTAAGGGTTCCAGTTCAACCCTGATCTCCGAGTCTGATCTCCCACCAGAGCACTGATACAGCTATCTGCCCTCAGGGCAACCCTGCTTAGAGTCTTTAAAATTCTCTATAAGCACAACAGTACATATCTAGTTTTCCCTACTTCTAAAAGTGGAAATTCAAACCTGTGTTTCAGTTTTACATATACTCTATATAATCTACCCTCCCTTACAGTGCAAAGTACCTGTGAGCCACCACAGGTGTCCTTTATCATCAGTTTATATATCCTTTATCATCAGTTTAGGAGTTATATTTAGTATTACTACCTTAACATTAAAAACAGTAACATTAAACTGCCTGCAATTAATTATAAAAGCTTAGAGTATTCAGTTAAGGTAAACGACACCTAAAATGTTTTCCACAAAGCTAAATGGAACAAGATTATTTCTTAGTTTATTAAAAGAAAAAAAGAAAGTGTGATTTGAAACCCACAAAACTAAAAAATAAGGTCAGATGCCTCAAATATAAGGAAACTGCCAGAGAATAAGCTGGATCCCTGCACTGACACCAAGGGAGTAACTGGCTGCAGCTGTGACACAGCTGTGACGGCCCAGTCCCTGAGGGGACCAGAGAGTGTTGTGAAGGAGCTAAGTGCTAGCTTCAGGGAAAGCCCAGTCAAGCCAGCCTGTGGTCACTGCTGAACACTAAGGCTAGCCCTGGCAACAGCTCTCTGGGAGGGTCAATTGTCAACAGTCACAGTGAACAGGGGCACCCATAGTACTGTGCTCCATGCCTGTGGTAGGACAGCCTGATGGCAGGACTGCCAACTATTACATCCTCCCTCAGGCATGTTCCCATTGGTAATAGGAAAGTGAATGCCTTCTTGAATTTTGGAGTAAGTCCTGTCATTTCACTTTACAGTTAAATTGTCTAGATCCAGACACCTAAACAGCATAAAATCAGGGATGGAAACAGAGGCATTCAGACCTGAGAGACTTGTGTCAGAAAGGTCAAGCCTAGAGAAGCTGCGAAGTGAAAACCGAAGCTGAAGAAAACAGGAGGAGGTGGTGGAGGAGGATGTGGGCTCCCAGGAGGAGAGGTGAGCCTAGGAGGTGTTGCCCTAAGGCAGAGCCAGGCTCTGCTTCTCAGATGCCACAGAGCACTTGGCCCCACTGAAGGGCCTGTCAGCTTCTGTGGGGCAGGGATCCCAAGAACAAGGACCCAGCAGGGTTGTTACTGTGTCTCCACAGCCCCACAAAGGGCTTAGGTTAGATTAGAGGTGCAGTGGGGACCTTTCAAACCAAGATAGAACCAGTAGCCACCAAGGTACACAGAGCTATGACTAACAAGTCTATCAATATTCCCCTGTAAATGCAATCTATCCTCAAAACACAGTTACCAAATGAATTAGGCCTCTAAATATGAACCCGGAAAAACTTAATAACCAAACAGTAGGCGGTAATTAGGTGATAAGATACAGGCATACCCCGCTTAAAAAGAAGCCCCATTCAAACATCAGAATGGACACTACAGGTGGCTCTTGTCAGGCATGACCTGCATGAACTGGGCTCACCTTTTCATTATAGTTGATGGCGATCACATCCCCGGTGGTCAGACAGGCAAAGTTCCTAAGTGCATTTTCTAATCTGCAGACACACTCTGTCAAGGCAACATGGCAAGATGGATACCTTAAATCTGAAACAAGTTTCCATGAGGGGTTAGATGATTACTAGTAGGTAGAGACTGTACCATGATGGTACTTGAAACACGAAGCTTTAACACAATGAAGTACTACTTGGCAATAAGAAGGATGGAACTCCTAACATGCAATAATATGGATCAATCTCACAAATGCCAAGCTGGGGGAAGGGGAAATAACCAACCACAAAAGGGTAGTGAGATTCCATCCACACAGAACCCTAAGAAAGACAGATCTATGAGGACAGGAGGTAGTTGAGAGGTTTCTGGGCCAGGGGATCAGGTGGGGACTGGCAGGAAAGGACCTTTTGGGAACATGGAAATGTTCTGGTTACATGGGTGTACACATTTTCAAACTGGCTGAACTGTGTGCATTTTATTGTGTACAAATTATACCATGGGATTTTTAAAAATCCTATGGGAGTACAAAAGAACAAAAAAGATTTAACGAGTCAGATAGGTCCTCTCAAAAGTTCCTCAAAATCAAAGATGCTTTCATTTATACTTTTGTTGTTTCTATCTTTTGAGCTGATAACTTTAGTTAATAAAAATTAAAGAAACCAGCAAATACTTTTTATAACAGTAAAAGACAGTAGAACCCAAATGCCCATACAAGGAAATGTCTATTCATGTGGAATATTTTAACCATGTCTTCCTCATCAATTTGCTGAATTACTTTACATAAAAAGGTCACAAGAAACGTGGCTCCAGAGCCTGTCACTGTGAGAGTCTAACTTGAGGGTGAAAGGGCGAGGCTATCTAGGTTCACCTCGTTCGGTCAAACAGCTTTCCAGAACCACAGCAACTTTGTGAAAAGTGCCTTATGTGGTGAATGCTTTCTTTGCTCCCGCACATGAATTGCAACGGTACAGAGTGCCCTTCCCTCCACTCCTCCAGTGACCCTGCCAGGGCATCTTCTCTGACTTCCACTGCAGCAGCTGGAGGAGCAGAGCCACAGCCCTCAGGCTGAGAACACGAGGCCTCTGCAGGAGGGCTGGCTCCCCATTTGGCCTCTGCATACTCTGGCGCCTGCTGCAGTACCAGCTTCCCACTTTCTCTGCTCGGCCAAGACTGCTTTCATCCAGACCTCAGCCAGACCAGAAAACACCAGGCTCTCAACTGATGGAAGTGACGCCCTTTCTCCACACACTAACAAGTTAACTGTGCTGACAAAAACAGCATCTGAGATCAACCTGATAAGAAGTCTGCATTGGGGCCGGGCGCACTGGCTCATGCATGTAATCCCAGCACTTTGGGAGGCTGAGGCAGGTGGAGCACCTGAGGTCAGGAGTTCGAGACCAGCTTTGGGCAACATGGTGAAACTCCGACTCTACTAAAAATACAAAAATTAGCCAGGCGTGGTGGTGCATGCCTGTAATCCCAGCTACTCGGGAGGCTGAGGCAGGAGAATCACTTGAATCTGGGAGGCAGAACTGAGATTGTGCCACTGCACTCCAACCTGAGCAACAGAGTGAGACGCTCTCTCAAAAAAAAAAAAAAAGAAATAAAGAGTCTGCATTGCAACACATGTAAAAACCCTGAGAAAATGGGCAGGGCCCATTCCTGGTCACTGACAGCCAAACAAGCACCTCTAGGTCAGAGCTCTGAAGGACAAGTTAACCAGCTCTTCCCATAGGACATCCCTTTGCCTGTGGGACAGGAGGCTCAACAAGGCCATCGTGTCCAGGACATGGGCAGCATGGGATATACGTGGCCCATATGCATCCAGAGCACAATCAGCAGTACCTTGCTCCTAAGAAAACATCTGGAGAGAGGGCTACTGGGAAGGGAGGCAGCTTTTCTTACCTTTCTGTCCATGTTGTTCAACTGTTTGTTTTTTTCTCAAGTATGCATTTAAAAAATTTAAAAAAAAAAAAGAAGTAGAATGGAGTGGCCACTCTTATGCCATGATCTTAACAAGGCAAATTGGGGCCATGGAGCTAGAGATCTTGATCAGTGCACACAGCACCGTCCCGTACCTGCACTGCCTACTTCCTGATGCTGTCAACACATACACCTGGCTTAAGTTCAGAGGTGAACATAAAGAATCCACTAGAACCTGATACCTTTGCTTTCTGCTTGGTGACATAGAAATTGCAGTCATTGCTACCTATTGGCCTGGAGTGAATGAGCTCTCAGGCTGGCATGCAGTGAGGTTCATGGGCCAGTGCACGGCTGGACAGAGGTACTAGGGAGCCACAGAAGGGGCTGGAGCTGAAGGCAGATGAGCTGCTCCCTCCTTCCACTGGACATACTGTACATCCTGGCTTTGTGCCAGGTGACACAGACCCACTGAAAGAAGGGCTTCATTATGGTCTCCAGGAAGTGTCTGGGAAGTGACAGAGGTGGCCCAGACAGCAACCAGTGCACTTGGCCAGGGTCACGCAGATGTGCTAGCTGAACCCCATTATTCTCAAATCACAACTTGAATCACAAATGTGTGATCCCCAAAGCAGACACAGATTAAATACAGTACATGATGTTTAACAACCGCCAGCACACTCTCCTTTGTCTAGAAGAACTCTGCTTATTTGAAAAGGATACACGGCTTTGGGGTTGGTGATGTCCAGGAAGTCAGGGCTCTGAGGCTGGAATTTGGAGTAGGTGGCCACTTGAAGGTTGACACTCTCCACCTGGACCAGGCCACCTTCTTCCAAAAGCAAGTTCTGCATCATCTGAAAGGAAGAAGAGGTTACATAAGACTCCTAGAGATGAAGTAGCCTCCACAACCACTGCTCCCTATACACTGGGCAGGCCAGTCTTACTTGGGTCCTTGGAAGAGGAACCTGAGGCAAGATAAGTAATTTGTGACAGTATGTCAGGAAGGAGGAAAAAATCAAGTGATGTGGAAGAAGGCCAATAAAGGGGTGCTACTGAAGCTACACAGCTCACAGTGTGAACGCATCTCTGCAGGGCCGCCAGGATTGCTCACTAGCTCCAGGCTTCCCAGGGGCAGAGCATTTTCCTGGAACAGTCACTCACCGTACTTCCAAGCTGTCCCACAAGTAACTAGTAAGGCCCCGGGGCAAGTAGGGCTGCAACTGAGGTAGGACAAAAGCAGCACAAGGCAAGGCTGACCTGGCAATGGAATGGCCCACCACAGCTGAGGCTGCAACATGGTGACAAGGCCCCAAAGGTCTCTGCTGTGGAGGTTATAAAAATCTGACAAAGCCTCCACATGCCTCTATTAAACAACCCAGCCAGGTAGACGACGGCTGAGGAGTGAGAGGGAAAGAGATAAACAGTGCCCGTGAGTACTGGGTGTGCAGGGAGCCCAGACTCAGGTTAGAGGCTCTATATCTCTTGCAATGAAATTTTGTTTGTCTTATTTGAAACCATCTTAAAAGGAGCGTCAGACATATACACGAGTAGAAAGAGCCACACAAGAAAGCTCCCACGCACCCAGCCCTGACAGTTGGATAGTGCTCACGTCATGGCTCAGTCCATCGATCGGCACTACCTCACACCCAGTCCCAGGCCACACTAGATGCCCTGAAGCGAATCCCAGGTATCACATCCCTTTAAGAATGTTTCATCAAGAGTGGCAGTGAGAAGGTGACTTTAACAGCCAAGGGAAGAGGGGACTGAGGGCTGTGTCACAGATGAGAGGGAGCTCATGAGGAGGAGGAGGCATGCTGAAGCCAAGACTGTGCCTGGGAGGCTGTGCCTAGGCCACAAGAGAAGCCTGAGTGGTGGACCCTGTGGACAGGCGTGCAGAGGACCCCGCGCACTCACGCTGACAGCTGCTTGTCAGGCTAGTAAGGGCAGAAATAGAGGGTGGTCACTCTACTGGATGCCACAGACAGGCATAGAAGGATGCAGAGGCAACTGGCTTTGGTAACTGAGGTTTGGAATCCCCAGGAGTGATGCTCTAACAGGAAGTACTCTAAGGCTCAGAGTCAGCCAGCCGCAGGCCAGGCGCACTGTCCCTCAGGGTAGATTTTTGTAGGAAGTATGTCAGCAACAGGAAGGACATTGGGCTGCAATCTCAAGCCTGAGGGAAGTCTGACCAGGGATGGGGGTGGCTTCCTCAGCCAGAGACAGGACACTGCCATAGGTGATGTGAGGCGGAGAGGCAGAGAGGTCAGACTAGGGCTTGAGGTGAGAAATGGGCTGCTGGAAGAGGCCCAAGAGCACTAAGCAGGCAGGAGGAGCTGACACCTGGCCCTCCCCATGTAGCATTTTAGAGCATACCGCACAATGGGTAGCCAAGTATCTGTGTGTCACAAACAGCTAGTCCAGGGCTCAGATCTAGGTCGGCAGACAAAGCCTTGGCTGCAAGGAAAAAGGCCAGCACCTATTCCAGGCTGGCTCACCCTGAAGAAGCTTGGAAGCATGGGTGGGAAGGAGTCCACCAACCAGCCCAGAAAAAGCACTGGCTCACACGGCCTCCAAGACAGCAGATGGGGGACACCTGTCACGCCTGCCCATGCCAGGAGCTAGAAGGCCAGCTCAGGGGAAGAGGTGGCCTGATGGCTTCACACCCCAAACCAGCTCCAGGCTACCTAAAGAGGCTTTCCATGGGAGAAAGGGATTCAATTAGTTTCCTGGTCTAAAGCAGCCCAACAGCTTGGACAAGAGGCCACCCAAACTTCAAGTCTATGGGTTAAAGGAAAACCTTCGAGGTACAGTGTATTCCCAGCATCACCACCTCCTCTTATAGGTGAGCCACAGAAGGGACTGGGGAAGTAGTCACTGCCTGACACTTCAGCTACCGAGAGTGGCTTCAGTGACCAGGTGTTCTACCGGATGAGCAGAACATGGCCTCAGGCCCCTGGGGGCACCTGCAGACAAACACAATAGCAAGGGGTTGAGCAGCAAATACTTGGGAGGGCAGGTGAGCCCATCTGGGCTTTGAGGCATAAAAGCCCCCCACAGGCCAGGGTGGGCAGACCTGGTCAGCTGAGGTGAGGAGGCAGCATGGGAAGGCCAGGCACTAGGAGGTGCAATGGGAGTGCAGGGCTCTTGTGGGGGAGACACTGGCCAGGCCCAGACCTTGGGAAGGGCCCTGGGACCCAGGCTGAAGAGAATGCCACTGCCATGGCACCATGGGCAAGGTCACCTGCTACAGGAGGAAAGGGACCTTCAGAATTTCAATTCATATTATTCTTTTCTTTTTTTTTGAGATGGAGTCTCGCTCTGTCGCCCAGGCTGGAGTGCAATGGCGTGATCTCAGCTCACTGCAACCTAAGCCTTCCGGGTTCAAGCCATTCTCCTGCCTCAGTCTCCCAAGTAGCTAGGACCACAGGCATGTGCCACCACACCTGGCTAATCTTTGTATTTTTAGTAGAGACAGGGTTTCACCATGTTGGCCAGGCTAGTCTCAAACTCCTGACCTCAAGTGATCTGCCTGCCTCAGCCTTCCAAAGTGCTGGGATTAGAGGCGTGAGCCACCGTGCCTGGCCAGAATTTCAATTCATATTTAATCTCAGAAAATACTATTTAAGGCCATCCCTTCTGAACATCTGGTAGGGCATGACAGGGCATCAGGAGGAGAGGTGGCAGCCAAGCAAGCACTCCTGAGAGTTCCCAGCCCACAGCTCACTGTGGGGTCTCTCAGTATGCCTGATGTAATTCAAGCACAAAGAGAAGGACAAGCAGGTCCCTTTGTGAACTTCCCTAATGTGCCAGAGCTGGGGAGAGGAGTGAGGAGAAGGAGCCAAGTGGGCCACAGCTACCTATGTGGAACTCTCACTGCTGCAGGCTCCTCCCTACAGCACTGGCACAGTTCTGCTCACTTCTCTGAGGGGTACAGCCTCGAGGGCAGGCTCTGGTGGCTCACACGCCCTGGATATCCCAGCCCAGATCTGCAATGACGTCCTTCAAGTCAACTTTCCAAAGAGAGCCTGCTTGTAAGGAGAAAGGCGTCATTCCTACAGCAGCTCAGTTGAGAGATTTGGGAGACTAAGTTAGAGGTAACTGAAAACACATACGCTGTGACAGACTACTAAAAGTAGGGGAAAGCATAAAAACCTCAAACACCCTACTTACTAGACCACCTAAAAAACACTGCTGCTCCATTATTTTTTAAAAAGCCTCACCCAGGAAATCACAGATGAACAGTTCAGCTGTTGTTTCTGGACAACCAGTTGTGCAACCATCAAAGACAAGGCTGCTCCCACAGCACAGTGGCCCACAGGTACGTCCAGAGCCCACCAGCCTGCGTAAGGCACAGTGCACTGCTCTGGATCCCTTCTCTCCCGCTGGGTCAGGTCAGGCTGAGATGCTGAGCAGGAGGAGTAGGCTGGGCCACCTGCTCCATGGCCAGGGCTCTCGAGTGCAGGGGATGTCTCTGCCTAAGTGGCTGCTCTCTAGAGACCCTAAGTGGCAGCCCCACTCACCCAGTGTGGGAGGTAGCAGATGCCCTCATCAGCCACAAACTCCAGCACGCCACAATGCGTCATGCGGTCCGAATTCTTATTGGTCAGTTTGAACAGCATGGGATAGGTAATATTAAGTCGGCCTGAAAAAAAGAGAGAGGCTATGAGGCACAACTCCTATGAAGGGAAACCTGTTCGGCCCATGCCTTCCTATAGAAGGAGCCTCCCCACAACCCTGCCCCTCAAACCCCACACTCCTCTGGCAGATGAATCCCCTCTGTAAGAGCACAGTGCATGGCTCAAGGAGGAGCCTGGCAACTTGGTAACACAGCACTGGCGTAGACTTGTGATTTTCTGAAGTTAACATTCTAAAAAGTGATGTGTTCGGCCGGGCGCAGTGGCTCAAGCCTGTAATCCCAGCACTTTGGGAGGCCGAGACGGGCGGATCACGAGGTCAGGAGATCGAGACCATCCTGGCTAACATGATGAAACCCCGTCTTTACTAAAAATACAAAAAACTAGCCGGGCGCGGTGGCGGGCGCCTGTAGTCTCAGCTACTCGGGAGGCTGAGGCAGGAGAAAGCCGTGAACCCGGGAGGCGGAGCTTGCAGTGAGCTGAGATCCGGCCACCGCACTCAAGCCTGGGCCACAGAGCGAGACTCCGTTTCAAAAAAAAAAAAAAGGTGACGTGTTCATTCACTTATTCATAAATAATTTCAGTGCCAACCATGTCCTGGACAAAATCCCTATCTTTAAAGGTTTCTAGTTTAAAGGTAAACCTTCCAACAAAGAAAACAACCACAACCAGATGCTACAGGTGCTGTGGGAAGGGCTGGCAGGAGGGGACAGAGCTATTGGGCTAGGCTCCTGGAGGCCGAGTTCTTTAGGCTGGGCACTGGGCGGGCAGACCTGGCAGGAAATCCAGGCAGAGATGGCAGCCTGAGCAAAGGTGGGGAAGGGAAGAGAAGCCCAGGCAGTTCAGAAATGGTGGGCAATTAGACAAGACAGGCTGGGGACAGGTGTGGGAGTGGTTGGGAAGGGGAGGGGCACCACACGGGGTAGAACCTAGGGCCTGGGCCCAGCGGGCAGTGTGGGCTCTCAGCAGGGTCATGACATAGGACGCCTCCTCTCTCTGGTGGACCTTGAGGTGTGAGCTGAAAGCAGGGCCAGAGGCAAGTCAGCTGGATTGGTAATGTGCTGACCCAAGAGGTGCACAGGCACATAAAGGAGGGGCTGGCAAAAAGAGGCAGGAACCCAGGAGACACAGGGCCCTGGGGGAGAGGACTGAGAAGGAACTGATGATAGTGATGGTGTTTGCCATGTGTAAGGCCCTTGTTCAGTCTTCCCAGAACAGTCAGTTAGGTACTATCATTATGCCCTTTTATCTATGGGGAAACTGAGGCCCACAGGTTAAGTAACACGCCTAAGACCTCACAACACACAAGTGGTGATGCCAGGATTCAAACCCAGGCTGCTGGCTTAAGTCTAGGGATTCAACCATCAAAGCAGAATTTAGCTTGTTAGTTTAGGCAAATATTCCAACAAAAAGCATAGTTAGTGTTAGGAGGTAAAGCAGATTCCATTTGAGATCTCCCTACAAATTCTAATAAAGCAAATCAAGTTGAAAGCTTGGGCAGGAAGCTACAGAGAACCTCTGGGCGCAGCATGTGGGTACAGTAGGGGAGGGCATTCCCTCCTATCACCAAGGGTGACTCTCACACTGGCAGTAAAGGGGCCAGGACCTCTGTCCCAGTGCATCTCTCAGCTGCAGAGCCATGGAGCTGACCTACAGCTGGTCCACAGGAAACTGGACTGGGCCCAACCAAGGGTCTGAGACTGTTGCAAGTGAGAGAGACTCCAATGTCCCTCAGTGCACTGACTCTCAAACTGCATTTTGTGACTTAGAGGCTCCCAGTCCCTCTGTACCCCCTCACTTCCTCCAAAAAGAGCAGAGACCCTCATTTTATGAATTAGAGGACTTCCTATAAGATTTAGACAGGAAGAGTTTCTCCCACCACTTAAAAGATTTGAACAACACTGATCTGAGCTACACCTCAATGACCCAGCCCCTGAGTCTCTTCTGGACACCTGTGCCAAGGGTCACACCTGGTGTCTGACTCCTGGATCAGCATGACCTGAAAGGAAGACCTTTTTAGGGGGCCCGTTCTCTCCTCTGTAATGATGGGGTCTTCATGAGAACTGTGAACGCCATAGCTCTGTTGACCTACTGGTTGAGCTGAGGCCTCCACTGGGTATAGCCACAGCTGGTGCTGGCTCAGGGGCTACCTCCCACCTTGTGGTTGGAATCAGATAGCTCAGGGTATCATAGACACTATAGTACTTCTGATGCATAGACACTGTGGATGTCCCTAGTTAAAGAAGAGGACATTGAGATTCAGAGAGGTCAAGTTGCTACTCTGGAGTCAGGCTGGGCAAACAGCCCGAGGTGAGTCACAACACAGCCAGCACCTGTTCTCAGCCTGCTGCCACCAGAGGCCCCCAACACCAAGCATGAACCTGTCCTCCTAGCCAGCCCCAGTCTCCTGCCTCACACGGGAAGAATTCACACCAGAAACACTCTTAAGTCTGGAAGGCAATGACGGCATCATTGATTGGGTTGTCCATGATTGGGATTTTCTGGGCCTGTGTAGTATGGGGCTAGGGCATGGGTTTCCAGGTTGCTCTCGTGGGATAAGGGCTCAGAGAAAAGGGAGGAAGAATGTGGCCACTCTTACAACCCCTGTGGGCCTATCTCACTCCTGGTAAGAGGCAGGAGCCCAGCAAGAGGAGTGGTTTCTGGAATGGAAGACAATAGCTCAGTTTTTGACATGCTGAGGATGCAGTGGTACACTGGCGATTAGAAATGGGGGTCTGGGCAGGGCATGGTGGTTCACGCCTATAATCCCAGCACTTTGGGAGGCTGAGGCAGGCGGATCACCCGAGGTCAGGAGTTCGAGACCAGCCTGCCCAACATGGCAAAACCCCATCTCCACTAAAAATACAAAAAATTAGCTAGGCGTGGTGGCGGGTGCCTGTAATCCCAGCTACTCGGAAGGCTGAGGCAGGAGGATCACTTGAACCTGGGAGGCGGAGGTTGCAGTGAGCCGAGATTGCGCCAATGCACTCCAGTCTGGATGCTAAGAGCAAAACTCTGTCTCGAAAAAAAAGAAAAAAGAAATGGGGGTCTGGAGCTCAGGAAAGATGCTTGGGGTGGGAATGAGGAACCTGCTTCACAGTGCCCTCTTGTGAGCTGACCAATTCTTCCTTTAGGAAAAAAAATCTAGTGAGCCCAGCCAATGGCATCAGCTGCCCTGGCACTGTGCAAAGCACCTGATACTTGTACCTTCATTTAATCCTGACAGAATACTGAGAAAAGTTGTGGGGGTAGGGGGAGTGGGGGGGGGGGTGATCAGGAAGGGGAAGGGAACTCCCTTCACAGAGGAGGGACCTGAAGCACCCAGGGCAGTGATGAAGCTGAGGTTCAGGGGGGCCCTGGTCTTGCCCTAGGTACCTGTGCCCCAGGTTCTCCCAGTCCAGCGCATGCCCTCCAGGGACAATTCACAGCTAGATACTGACAAAGGGCACTGGTGTCTGGATATACTGAGGAGCCCACGCTGACTCTTGGTGTCCATGTTTACTAAGTTCTTAAGTCACTCAGAAGATACTTACTGAGTTGGTCCAGGGCTGAGGGCGGCATAATTACTGTGGAAAGAACATTTAAGAAATATTAAAAAATAAAAATAAAAAGAACAGACCAAAGGCAAGATGCAGTTTCTTTATATCTAACAAAAAGCCTTAAACGGTTTTTAGGGTAGCCAGAATGTCATAGTGATCTTTCATAAAGAACCTTACTTGATGTAATTTATTTTGGGAACTGAATGGTTATCAGCCATAAACCTAACCATAATTAGCACCCCACCGCAATAAAGCAAGTCTAGAATAAGCACCATTTTCACAGTAACACTAGCTTCTGACTCCCACATGCAAAGTAAGTACCGTTGAAGGCTACAGCATTGCAGACTTAGGGCAGGAAAGGTTACTATTCAAATAAAAACAAGCACATACTCTTCCCTCCTTTCTCCACATCTGACCTGTCATTAGGCCCTGCTAGCATGGACACAGAGAAGCAGCGGTACTGTGTGGAGAAGCGGTTTTGGAAGACCCTGGGAATCGGGTGGTCGAACATGTTGAAAGAGAACTAGAAGGAGGAAAGAGAAACAAGTATTAAAACAAAGGTACATTTCTTCATGTCAAAAGACAAAACATGTCAGAGTAATCAATGCTGCTAAACATTGTCAGAGAATACAATGTACTGAAATCTTCAATGTACTGAAATCTTCAATGTAATGTTACTAAATATAAAACAGGCCACGTCAAGCCTGTCCTGAACCTTTTTCAGGGCTGTGCTCCCATCTTCATCCTCAGGATCAAGGCCCAACCTCTTGCATACCTCAGAGACTTGTACTGACAGCCCCACAGACTCCTGCCTGGGCTAGTTCCTCTGCCTTGAACACTTTTCTTACTATCATTAATCTAAACAATATTTGTTAACTGCAACATCTCTTTATTGAGTGCCTACTGTCTGCCAGGCTCTGACATGAGCACAAGGGAAACACCACTCTAGTGATGTTTGTCCACTAACAAAATAGATACCACCCCTGTCCTGGTGAAAATGACACTCAAACCAAGGGAGATATACACTCAAAGCAAGGGACATGTGTGTCCGGCAGTTCTGAAGACAAGGAGCAGGGTAAGTAGACAGAGGGCTCCTGGGAATGCTATTTTAAATAGGTAGTTAGGAAGGGACTCTGCACAAAGACCCAAACGCTATGAGAGAGAGCCAGGCAAAAAATAGGGAAAGGCATTCCAGGCAGCAGGAGGAACAGGTACCCAGTGGTTGCACCCCTTCCCCTGGGTTCCAATTACCACCCTTTCCTTTCCCCAGGAAGCCTCTGCTGCTCTGCTGAGGGTCAGGGCCAGTGCCCCTTCAGTTGCTCTCACAGCAGAGTAGGTACACATCACACTATGTTGTGATGCTTTCTTATAGCAACAAGCAAAGCTAAAACATGATGCCATTAAAAAGGTTAAGATCCTAGTTCTTAAACTGTAGACTTAGATGAGGCTTAGCAAACATATCAATTTGAGGTTTTCTCAAAGTACAGTATTCCTCCCACCACCCCCCATATCCACAGGGGATACATTCCAACATCCCCAGTGGATGCCTGAAACCAGAGGTAATATTGAAACCCATATATACTATGTTTTTTTCTTATACATATCTACAATTTTCTTATACATATCTGCAAAAAGTTTAATTTATAGGCTGGGCGTGGTGGCTCACGCGTATAATCCCAGCACTTTGGGAAGCAGAGGCAGAAGGATTACCTGAGGTCAGGAGTTTGAGACAAGCCTGGCCAACATGGAAACCCCCTCTCTACAATAATACAAAAATTAGCCAGGCGTGGGGGTACACGCCTGTAATCCCAGCTACTCAGGAGGCTGAGACAGAAGAATCACTTGAACCCAGGAGGTGGAGGTTGCAGTGAGCCGAGATAGTGCCACTGCACTCCAGCCTGGGCAACAGAGCAAGACTCCATCTCAAAAAGAAAAAAAAATTTTTTTAATTTATAAATTAGGCACAGTAAGAGATTCACAAGTAATAATAAAACAATTATAAGAATACACTGTAAAAAAAGTTAAGTGAATGTGGTCTCTATTTTAAAATTTTTGGACCATGGTTGACCTTGGGTAACTGAAACCACATAAAATCTCACAGTAGGCTGTATATTCAAAAGAACTGGAGGCAGAATCAAGAAGAGATTTTTGTGCACCCCATATTCATAGCACAATTATTCATAATAGCTAAAAGGTGGAAGCAACTCAAGTGTCCAATGACAGATGAATGAATAAACAAATACTAGTATGGTATATACATACAATGAAATATTATTCAGCTTTTAAAAGGAAAGAAATCCTGTCACATGAATGAACCTTGAGGATATTATGCCAAGTGAAATAAGTCAGTCATAAAAGGACTTATATTTTATGAGTCCACTTCTAGGAAGTACCTAGAGTAAGCAAATTCATGGAACAAAGTAGAATAGAGATTGACAGGGGCTGTGAGGAGTAGGAAATGGAGAATTACTGTTTAATGTGAGTAGAGTTTCATTTTTGCAAGATGAAAAAGTTCAGAAAATCTTGCTAGTGAATGTATTCAACACTATAGTTCAATTGAACTATAGACTTAAAAATGGTTAAAATTTGGATTTTTTAACCACAACTAAAAAAAAAATCTCTATTACAGAAAATTTCTTGACTTGATTCCAAATATATATTTAATAGAAGGAATGCCACCTACTGACAAAGGAGTTTACTAGTAACCCCAAAATTAGAAAGCTGAATTAGCCATTTCCTAAAATGCAAACATAGCATGTTTCCACCTAATTTCTTGGATGGTTCTTTACTCCCTGGCACTCCAGCACAGTAATATCCAATCTTTGTCTTTCTTTTTTTAAGCAGCATAACTGTTCAACTAAATCTTCGCCAGAACCATAACACATGAAATAGTGTTTCCGGGTGAACAACACCAGAAAAGGGTAGGGGCTTGCCTCCCTTGAATGCTTCTCACTAGCCAACCTATCTAAGCCATTTCTTTCCTTTGAACATAAAAGGTAAATCCGCACAAAGGGGCAACATACTTAACAACCTGCCTGCAGTTTACCCATGAACCCGACCTTCTGCTCCTTCTTTGCTGCTCCAGATCCCATCTCTCAATTTCCTTTTCAATCCCGAGACCTAGCACATTGCCTGGAACATATCAGGTATTCTTGAGTGGATGAACTCAAGAATTGAAATAAGCCAGGGTTTGACAGTGGCACACTTGGAATAAAATCTGACAATCATTCCTTGTCTTTACTAAAATAAACAGGTGACAGGAAGACAATACCATAGAGTGCTTTGCAGCCAGACAGACTTGGCTTCAACTCTCCACTCCCTACTTTTGTGACTCGAATAAAGTATCTCTGTAAACGTTAGTTTTCTCATGTTCAAAATAATCATCCTAGCTTCCAAAGGAATTGCAGGGATTAAAAGAAATAAGGCGTGATGAGGGAGTACAGGTGTTAAAAGCTATGTAACAGGAAACGTACCAGCAGGTATTAGCTTCCATCGTTATCATTAGCGAACACAACACCGCTGTACAGATCCGAAGGCACGAACCTGTAGGCACGGAGCTCACGGAACTGGGGCAAGAGATGGGTGTCCCCCAAGACCGGGCATGCCCTCTAAGATTTCTCCCTGGGGAGCGCCTGATTCTGTTTCCATCCCCAGCAACCTTGCAACTAACTTTGGGTTTATGGAAACCTGTTGCGCGTCCAGCACATGGAAAACCCGTGAATGGACACTAGCTTTCCTTTCTTTCGTCAACGACGGCAAGTCCGGCTGAGACGGAATGCGAGCCATGTTCAGGACTGGCGGACGCGACCACAGGCGGTTAGTGGTCAAGGGTTCTGCTTGTGCCCAGTACGGCCGATGAGCCGGCAGGCCTGACTCAGGCCCAGGTGACTCGGCACCTCCGCCGCCGTCCCGCGCCGCCCCGCCGGGCCCTAACTCAGGCCCCGGGCCAGACCCCCCAGACCCCGCCCGCTGCCCGTCAGCGCTTACCATGATGGACACCACCTCGGAGACTCCGCTTCTCTCAGGCAATACGACGAACGTACTCCGCCAACCGCTCTCCCAGCCTCCGCCGCCTCCGCCGCGCCAAGCCGGTACGCCCCAGAGGCTCACCGGAAGTGCCGGACCCGAGACCCGGAGGGGGGTGCCCGGGACAAAGCGTCGGCTGCAAAAGAGAACAGGCCAGGCGAAGACGCTAGGCTCTAAAACACCCTCAGCAGAAGCATTAAAATGACCTTTCGTGATTTATTTCCCCGTTAGTAGGTACTTTTTAAAGTTATTTTAAATTACGTTTTGATAGTTTTCAACCCCTCCAGACGAATTTAGTAGGGCCCATTGTCCTTACGACTACACTACCCAGAATGCACTACCCAGAATGCCTCTGCTTCAGCCATCTAGGACTCGGGCCGAACTAAGCTACAAATCCTTCTTCAGACCACACCAAAAACCTATTGCAAACGTAACTGCTGCCCCATTCGGTATGTGACTGAGTTTAATGTATGGCTAGAAGTAGTGTACTTTCTCTGCGGGTTCCCAGTGGGAGGCAGTAGGCTTCTATTCCCAAAGTAAAGATGTCCGCCGAGCGTCGCGTTTCTGGGTAAAAGCGAGTCAGAGTTGAAAGAGGCAACAGTGCTTGCGTTCGGCCTCAGAGGTGACCCTTCTTTTGGGGCGGGCTGGAGTTTTCTAGCCGTGAATGGCAGAGCGCTAATGGCCGCCTCCAATGGGGTCCAATCAGAAAGAAAGGAAGGCTGGGAACTAAGAGGCTATTGGTTGGTGATTCCTGGACCAATCGGAGGAGCCGTGATTTGGCGGGAGTCTTGACCGCCGCCGGGGCTCTTGGTACCTCAGCGCCAGCGCCAGGCGTACGGCCGCCGTGGCTATGTTCGTGTCCGATTTCCGCAAAGAGTTCTACGAGGTGGTCCAGAGCCAGGTGACGCCCAATCTGGGATCCCCGCCGAGGCCTTGCTGGTGGGGAAGGGATGAGGAGGAGCGGCCGTGGGTGACCGGGAGGCAGGGGAGGGCCGGGGTTCGGGTCGCCGCGTTCAGCCCGTCCGCTCTTTCCCCGATAGAGGGTCCTTCTCTTCGTGGCCTCGGACGTGGATGCTCTGTGTGCGTGCAAGATCCTTCAGGTGAGTTCTGCGGGGCCTGGGAGGGCGGGGCCGGCGCGAGAGGTGAGGGTGCTGCGTGGGGGCGCAGGGCGGGCAGAGAGTCAGGATGGATGCTGAGGGCTTAGCGCGGGAGAGGAAGCCGGGCAGGAGGTGAGCAGCAGGTGAGAGGAGAAGTTGCCTCCCTGTCCCAACGGTGTGGGGTGGGATAGAGGATTAAGTAAAAGGTAAAGAGACTAGTTCGTATTTTTGCAACAAACTATTAATATAAATAGGTGAACAAAGCAGTTGGCGTTTGGGGGAAACTTTGAATCTGTAGTGGCCTCTCAAATGGGGGATTTGAGAGAGAGGAATCTGTGACAACTCTGGGTGCAGTTGTGTCGTAGGTGTTGCTGGGAATATGGGAGCCCCTAGTCTATTAGGGAGGATCGTTAGTTTGGTTTTGAATAGGGCATGGTATGTACGTTGTTTTGGTCTGGCCCTTGGATCAGGAACTTTTCAGACGGCCTGGAAGTTAAATCGGCATTTCCCACCGATGTTTTAATTTGGTAATTTGCAAAATTCACAGGATGGTATGGTAAACACTCATATGCCTAGCACCTAGCTTTTCCCGGAAGCATTTCACTAACTTTAGTGTTATCCCGTGTCTTTTATCTCTCAACCCATCTAATCTAACTCGGTTTCTTTTCAAGGTAAATTGCCAATGTCCTAAATAAGATAGGCTTTGAAAACACTCTCTCTCCAGGCCTTGTTCCAGTGTGACCACGTGCAGTATACGCTGGTTCCAGTTTCTGGGTGGCAAGAACTTGAAACTTCATTTCTTGAGCATAAAGAACAGGTATTGAAGATGTATTTTAGAATAACGTGGCTTTTTTACTCAATTGTAATTTCTTGACACAGCATTCTATGACCACAATAGATTCAGTATGTATTTAAGTATCAGCTACATTAGGCAATACGGAAGAGAAAAACATGCTGTATGTACTGGTGACTTACGCCCAAGTTGTAGAAGCAAAATTGACAGCAAAAAAAGATAATGAATGTGGATAGCCCCTAACTTTGAACTTGTTTTGCAGAAATTTGATTGTAAGGTGCTTGGAATCTAGCAGTTTTTAATATGGTCTAGTTAAAATCATTTTATTTTATTTTGATTTATTTTATTTATTTTTTACTTACATATATATATATATATATTTTTTTTTTTTTTTTTTTTTTTCCCTGTGACGGAGTGTTGCTCTGTCACCCAGGCTGGAGTGCAGTGGCCGGATCTCAGCTCACTGCAAGCTCCGCCTCCCAGGTTTACACCATTCTCCTGCCTCAGCCTCCCGAGTAGCTGGGACTACAGGCGCCCGCCACCTCGCCTGGCTAGTTTTTTGTATTTTTTAGTAGAGACGGGGTTTCACTGTGTTAGCCAGGATGGTCTCGATCTCCTGACCTCGTGATGCGCCTGTCTTGGCCTCCCAAAGTGCTGGGATTACAGGCTTGAGCCACCGCACCCAGCCTATATATATATTTTTTAAACAGAATCTCGGTCTGTCGCCCAGGCTGGAGTGCAGTGGCATGATCTCGGCTCACTGCAAACTCTGTCTCCTGGGTTCATGCCATTCTTCTGCCTCAGCCTCCTGAGTAGCTGGGACTACAGGCACCTGCCACCTCGCCCAGCTAATGTTTTTGTATTTTTAGTAGAGACAGGGTTTCACCATGTTAGCCAGGATGGTCTCGATCTCCTGACCTCAAGTGATGCGCCTGCCTCAGCCTCCCAAAGTGCTGGAATTCGTTAAAATTATTTTAGAATACACTACTATTTTATATTATTTCTCCAAGAAAATGCATCCTGGTTTCCAACTTGAAATACAGGAATAAATTTAAACAATAGATGCCAGGATTCCTCCCACCTCTACATGGGGCCAAATGAAAGATGGGACATTGTAGACCCCACAGAGAGGGGATGGGACATGGAAGAGGGACCCTGGAGTCCCTAGCCGTATCTAGGATTGTTTTGGCAGAGACAAGTCCTCTCCTGGTGTTCCTGTTGTTATGTCAAGGACCCGCACCAGCTTGGTATTGATAAGGAAAGCACATGCAATAGTGATGGAGTGTGATAAAGGACTTAAATATAATATTTAAGTACCCATAAAGTATTTGCTGAAAACTTAAACCTGTACAATGCCATTAGCCTGGAGAGGCACGCAGCATAGTACCGTGAGGTCTGGAGAGACGCAATCATGTGCTTGAAGCCTTGCTCTGCTCCTCATTAGTTTCTTGAGCTGTCCATAAGACTTGGGCTTGCTGAGTCTCAGTGTGCTCCTGGGGAAAACGGAGCCCCCGGGCCCACCCTGCTCTGTCACCATGCTAAAGCACTTAGCATGCCAGCCTGGCCGTTTTTTGGAATCCCTTGCCACGTGGGCCTCGCCACATGTCAGGGACTTAGTAAGTTTAAGCAGAACAACTCAGAGGCTTAGTGGTGAAGGGAAAGGGGCCTCCTCGATATAGCTACTTTACAATATCTTCCTTTTTTTCAGTTTCGTTATTTTATTCTCATAAACTGTGGAGCTAATGTAGACCTGTTGGATATTCTTCAACCTGATGAAGACACTATATTCTTTGTGTGTGACACCCATAGGCCAGTCAGTGTCATCAATGTGTACAACAATACCCAGGTACTTTTTGTGCTCTGCCCTCAAACTGTCTGTACTTTTTATGCCATGTACAATGTCTCACCTGGTGTTCTTGGTAAGGTGTATGTCTGACTATCCTGTGGGATTGGAACAGCCTGAACACAAGAACTTGGTCTTTGTCATCTTTTTTTTTGAGAGATAGGCTGGAGTACAGTGGCACAATCATGGCTCACTGAAGCCTCAAACTCCTGGGTTCAACTGACCCTCCTGCCTCAGCCTCCTTAGTAGGTGGGACTACAGGCACATACCACCACGCTCAGAAAATATTTGTTTATATTTTTAGTTGAAATGGAGTCTTGGCTGGGCATGGTGGCTCACACCTGTAATCCCAGCACTTTGGGAGGTCAAGGCGGGCGGATCATGAGGTCAGAAGATTGAGACCATCCTGGCTAACATGGTGAAACCCCGTCTCTACTAAAAATACAAAAAATTAGCCAGGCATGGTGGTGGGCGCCTGTAGTCCCAGCTACTTGGGAGGCTGAAGTAGGAGAATGGCGTGAACCTGGGAGGTGGAGCTTGCAGTGAGCCAAGGTCGTGCCACTGCTCTCCAGCCTGGGCGACAGAGTGAGACTCCGTCTCAAAAAAAAAAAAAAGAGGCTGGGCGCAGTGGCTCAAGCCTGTAATCCCAGCACTTTGGGAGGCCGAGATGGGCGGATCACGAGGTCAGGAGATCGAGACCATCCTGGCTAACACAGTGAAACCCCGTCTTTACTAAAAAATACAAAAAACTAGCCAGGCGAGGTAGGGGGCGCCTCTACCCCCTACTACTCGTGAAGTAGTAGTCCCAGCTACTCGTGAAGCTGAGGCAGGAGAATGGTGTAAACCCGGGAGGCGGAGCTTGCAGTGAGCTGAGATCTGGCCACTGCACTCCAGCCTGGGTGACAGAGCGAGACTCTGTCTCAAAAAAAAAAAAAAAAAGAAAAATCAGCCTGGAGTTACTTTTAGACAGGAGTTTTAGTCATCTAGGGGTTACACATCTTCATGTCCTTTATCGGAGGCCAAGCTGTGGAGCATTCATTTTATTCACGTATGACATAAGAGGATGCTGTGTTTCCAGACTTAAGTAGACTAGATGGTCCTGAAAGAATTGTTTTCAGATTTTTGTAATTTCTGCATACCACATATGGTGTAACTCTGGTGCCTCACTGGTAATGAAAACAAGAAAATTCCTTGGAAGCCTGGAACTCTTATTAAATTGGTAGCTATTTGTATGAACAGGAAACTGAGTCAGCTTATTAGGAAATGATAAGATTCTGCAGAAGAACATATTGTGTAGTTTTCCGTAGAAAGAGGAGAGGCTTAATTCCTTTTTGTTTTGAACTTAGATCAAATTACTCATTAAACAAGATGATGACCTTGAAGTTCCCGCCTATGAAGACATCTTCAGGGATGAAGAGGAGGATGAAGAGCATTCAGGAAATGACAGCGATGGGTCAGAGCCTTCTGAGAAGCGCACACGGTTAGAAGAGGTGTGTTTGGGTCTCTCACAGCCATCCCGGAGGAACTTGCACTCCCAGAGGTCAGAGGTCATCCTAAAGGCTGCCAGGCCCAGGTGTAACTGAGGGCAGTGGGAAGTGGAGAAGTTAACAGGCATGGATGCTGACCCTGGGCTCTGCTGTCCCCTGGTTGTGTGGCCTCAGGCAGGTTACTGGACTTCCCTGAATAGTGGCTTATCTGTCCAATAGGATCCTGTCAGATGAAATGAAATTTAGGACAGCTCAGCTCTGCAGCTAGATAGCAAAAAAATAATGTAGAGAAGCAATAAATAGTGCAACTCCCACCCCTTCCTTTCCTACTGTCTTCTAGCATCACTCACTGTGCAGTCACTGCAGAGGAGCAATGTGGGTCTGCATCCCTTGGCCAGGCCCAGTCCCGGACAGTTACTCCAGGGGAGGTATCTTGTATGTACAGATACGAATGGTTTTCACCATGTGGACCTTGGGTCTGAGCTGCTTAGTGATCTGGGGCTGGGCCCAGGGGCCTACCCAACACTATGGCTTCTGCCAGATGTAAAACGATAGGCAGAAGGTGGTGATTCCTATAGCACGGAGGGCCATAGGATGTTTTGAAGATGCCCTCTGGCTCCTGATCTTGGTGTGTGACCTAGAATTTGCCCCCGGAATGTCCTAAGGTCTTCTCTTCATCCTCAGCCTGACATTTCCCAGTAGTGTGCTTTTGGGAAGTCTTTTTGAGCCATATTTGAGACATTCAGGACATTCTCCATTTGAGGAAGGGGCAGTGCCCTTGAAACTGAGGCATGCTTCTCTCTTCTTTCTCACCTTTGTCACCCCTTTCACTAGGTTTGGGTGTCTCATCAGGAATCTCTTGGATCCACTCTTATATTTCCTTACTTCTTGCCCAGCTCTTTGTCTGTTCTATTTTTTGGAAGACTTTTTGGTCTTTATTTTATTTTTTTTCCCCGCAGACAGGGTCTCTCTCTGGCCTCAAACTTCTTGGCTCACTTGATCTTCCCACTTCAGTCTCCCAAGTAGCTGAGACTGTAAGCACATGCCACTACAATCAGCTTGGTTTTTATCTTCTAATCTTTGATTTGTGAGAGGTCTTTTTTGTTCTCTGAATTTTTTTATATATAGCATTCTTTTTTTTTATTTTATTTTTTTTATTTTTTTTGAGACGGAGTCTCACTCTATCGCCCAGACTGGAGTGCAGTGGCCAGATCTCAGCTCACTACAAGCTCCGCCTCCTGGGTTTACACCATTCTCCTGCCTCAGCCTCCCGAGTTGCTAGGACTACAGGCGCCCGCCACCTCGCCTGACTAGTTTTTTAGTAGAGACGGGGTTTCACCGGGTTAGCCAGGATGGTCTCCATCTTCTGACCTCGTGATCCGCCCATCTCGGCCTCCCAAAGTGCTGGGATTACAGGCTTGAGCCACCGCGCCCGGCCATAGCATTCTTTTAACTATTGATGAGCTGCATTTCATTGGTTCCCAAATATCAGTGTCTAATGGGATTTTCCCTGGAAACATTCATGTTCTACAGGTAAGTCTTGAAATTTTCCATTCTGACTAATAAACATATTTTTTAAACACTTACTATGTGCCAGGTACCAGTTAGGCCCTGGGGTGCAGGGATGAGAGCAAAGTCCTGCCTTTGCAAAGCTTTCCAGTGGGAGAGACAGATACTGATCATGTAAATGAGCACAATTAGGGAAAGCTTTCAGGTACCAAACGTGAGTTAGCATGGGATGAGCCAGGAGGATTCCTGGGCAGAGCATCCATAGACACTGCGGCTCTGAGGTGGGAAGGAAAGTTTCAAGGAAGGCTCGGCCAGCAGTGCCAAAGGAACAGGCCAATGAGAATAGACCAGTGGGTTTGGCAACAAAGAGAAGGTAGGTTGTCTTGATGAGATGCAAGAAAATATCAGCGTTTCCTTTCACATACTTAACACATCAATTTGGAATCTATGTTTGTAAATGTTTAACATAATATTCATGAAATATAATAGGCATAATTTCCCACCAACTTTTTATTTTGAAGTTTTTTGAAATGTATGCAGTGTTGAAAGGATAGTACGGTGAATATCCATATATCTTCAATCTAGAGTCAACAGTGGATCATGACTGTAGGTGGTCTCAGCTACTTGGGCGGCCAAGGCAGGGGTATTGATCAAGCCCAGGATTTCGAGAACAGCCTGGGCAACATGAAGAGACCTTATCTCAAAAAAAACAAAAACAGTTTTTGACATTTGCTTTCTCTCTACATATTCTTTTTCCTGTATCATTTGAGAATAGGTTGCAGAAACTATGATATTATTTTTTATTTTTTATTTTATTTTTTCTTGAGATGGAGTCTCTGTCACTGAGGCTGGAGTGCAGTGGCACAATCTCGGCTCCCTTCGACCTCTGTCTTCTGGGCTCAAGTGATTCTCCTGCCTCAGCCTCCCAAGTAGCTAGGATTACAGGCGTGCACCTCCACACCCAACCAGAAACCATGATATTCCACACAGTCTTTCGTAAGCAGCTCCTAAGAATAAGGACATTCTTCCCCATAAACACAATGCCATTGTCATGCAGAAGAAATGAATAATATGCTAATATCAGGTAATACTCAGCCCATATTCAGGTCTCTTTAATTGTCCTCAAAATATATTTTGCAGCTATTTTTATTTCTGAACTACAATCAAGGTTAACACATTTAGCTATTTCTCTTTACTGTCTTAACCTAGAACTGTACCTTACCTCTTTTTTTTCTTTTGTTTTGTTTTTAATGACACTACAGGCCAGTCATCTTTTCTAATATTTACTACTACTTGTTTCTTCCTGGAGTACTTTAACTTGCTTCTCTATCCCTGCATTTTCTGTGATCTGTAAATTAGGTCTAGAGCCTTGATTTTAATAACATTAAGCATTCTTGAGAAGAATACTTTTTATATAATTAAAACCTGTGCATGATTTATGACTAAGTATGTGTATATTAGAGGTATATTCTTAGAAATATTTTTACCGGCCTGACATGGTGACTCAAGCCTGTAATCCCAGCATTTTGGGAGGCCGAGGCGGGCAGATCACCTGAGGTCAGGAGTTTGAGACCAGCCTGACTAACATGGAAAAACCCCGTCTCTACTAAAAATACAAAAATTAGCCAGGAGCAATGGCAGATGCCGGTAATGCCAGCTACTCGAGAGGCTGAGGCAGGAGAATTGCTTGAACCCAGGAGGCGGAGGTTGCAGGCCGAGTGGTGGAGGCCAAGATCGTACCACTGCACTCCAGCCTGGGCAATAGAGTAATACTCTTGTCTCAAAAAAAAAAAAAAAGAAAGAAAGAAATATTTTTACCAGACTAGACAATATAGCAAGACATGGTCTCTAAAAAATAAAATAAAATAAAAATTAGCCAGGCATGATGACACGGTCTCATAGGCCCAGCTACTTGGGAGGCTAGAGTGGGAAGATGCCTTGAGCCCAGGAGGTTGGTTGAGGCTACAGTGATCCATGATCACATCATTGCACTCCAGCCTGGGCAACAGAGCAGGACCTCATCTCTTAAAAAAAAAAAAAAGAATGAAATATTTTTATTAATAGGGGTGCACATTCAAAGAGGTTTAGAGACAATAGTTTATAAATAATCGTTTTAAAGAGTTTTCCTATAGGTCAGGCGTGGTGGCTCACACCTGTAATCCCAGCGCTTTGGGAGGCTGAGGCAGGCGGATCATGAGGTCAGGATATCGAGACCATCCTGGCTAACACAGTGAAACCCCATCTCTATTAAAAATACAAAAAATCACCCGGGCCTGTTGGCCGGTGCCTGTAGTCCCAGCTACTCGGGAGGCTGAGGCAGGAGGATGGCGTGAATCTGGGAGGTGGAGCTTGCAGTGAGCTGAGATTGCGCCACTGCACTCCAGCCTCGGCAACAGAGTGAGACTGTGTCTCAAAAAAAAGAAAAAGAGTTCTGTTATAAAGAAAAGAGGAGACATGAGGTCAAGAATCATTTTTGCTTGTCTTTTAAAGGTGGGATGTTAGAGCTGGACCTCAGCAGAGATGAGATTCCACTATAAAAATAACCATAATTATACTTCTTCTACAGGTGCTATGATATCCTGGTTCAGGTCACAGGTTTCACATTTTGTATCTGCTATAACAGCTTTGTGACCGTAGTCAAGTGACTTAACCTCTATGTGCCATCGTAAAATGAAGAGAATAACTGGACTTACTTCTTTTGGTTCCTACTGATGTTTAACAAATTACTCCAGAACCTAGCAGCTTAAAACAACCTTTTCCTTATGCTCATGGATTCTGTAGGTTAGCAATTTGGGCAGAGCCCAGCAAGGTTGACATCTTTTTGCTCTGTGATATCTGGGCCCTCAGGTGGGGACTCAATGGCTAATAACTGGAAGCATGGCTCAGACACCTGCTGGGATGGCTCCAAACCAGGACTGCTGAGCCAAGCACCTGCAGAGTCTCTCCATTGCATGTGGTTTCCTTACAACATGACTGCTCAGGCTTCCAGCATGAATATTCCAGTCACCTGGGCAGCCACTGCATGGCTCTCCCGACCAGCTTTAGAGTACCTCAGCAGCCTGTAGCCACAACGGAGGGGACAAGACCCCACCATGCATTGTGAGAGGGTCAAAGAAATCTCAGGCTATGGGAATTTTGTTACTTTATTGACGCATAATGTCTACACAATTCACTAGGTGGTCCAATTCAATGAGATTTAACAAATGTGTAAAGATGCAACCACCATCCCACCATGATAGAGAACAATTCCATTACCCACAAAAAGTTTCCTCACCAGGACCATGACTTTTTTTTAATTAAAGTTTTTCTTTTGAGATAATTATAGATTCACATGTAGTTGTAAGAAGTAATATAGAAAGATCACTTATAGGCCGGGCACGGTGGCTCACGCCTGTAATCCTAGCACTTTGGGAGGCTGAGGCGGTCGGATTACGAGGTCAGGCGATCGAGACCATCCTGGCTAACATGGTGAAACCCCATCTCTACTAAAAATA